CGTGCTTCCGTCTCGCATTCGCAGAGGCCAATGAGCGTGGTATGTTCGTTGGGAAAGATTCCGCTGCTTGCTGCTTACAGTGCGACACATGCGCGACAAGTCTCACATTTTCTCCATTCTAATGAACAGTCGATTTTTCTCCAGAATCCGTTTGGAATCGAGGCTTCAAAGTGCAGCTTGTCATTGATGTTTGATTCTAGTTCACAGCACCGCTTGGGTTAGATGCTAGAACACAGCGGCTTTGAGACTACGATTCTATCGCTACCATTAGCTGCTTGTCCACCAGGAGATCGATTATGCTGGCTCGCTCGCTGTGCGTTTGTATTTCGTGGTTGATTTTTGTTTCTCGTGAGACCTACACTTCCACGGCACAAATGGTCAGTTCCAATTTAGTCACAGCGTTCTCGCTGTGATCAGTGAATGCTTTGGAGAATAATGTGAGTTGGGAAGAGCCTGCAAGCATTCGGTTCGGTTTGACAGAATGATCTTGGTTGCCGAGTTGATGGAAATTGGTTTCTTTGTGCATGACTTGCTCTCAGAGACAACCATGGCTTCATGATGAAGGTTTGGAAATTTTGGGCGTGGCTCTTCTTCCTGCTTTTGTGGAAACTTTAACTTTTTAGCGCTGCTTGCATGTCGCGGATGCATCTCCCGCATCGCACATAATGCGTTTTTGCGTGATGTGCCGAAGTGAAACACTGCATCAGCTTTCGACGACTGCAAATTGCAAAGCGCTTGTCTGCATGCTTGTCCATAGTTGCAAAGCTTGCAAGAGACGAGGTCCTTCTGTTGCATGAGGGACAAAGTCCGCTTGTCCCAAATGTTTTTCTCCCACCAGTTTTATCAGTTTTTTTAATTGTCGTGAGCATTATGGTCATTCGTGGGATTCTCCTGTGCGCCAGACAGATTCTCGAGGAAGAATGCCCCAAAGGAGGCAGTGGGCGTAGCCTTGTCAGATTTCATGTGGAGCTATCTTCGTGTTTTAGAGCTGCAAGTTCGACCGATACGATCAAAGAACATTGCCATAACCCACGCGCCGATGTAAACACAGACTTATTCTCCAGTGCTATCGGCATATTTCATAGTTTGATCAACAAAGCGCACCGTAAGCTGCGACAAGCCAACACCGATGCGGCTTCAAGCGCGGATAGTGTCGTTGTGTTGCTCCCGATCCGGACCAAGTTACATTCCACACATGAGCGATGCCATGGTTCTTTGTGTTGGTTGCAGCAAACATGGCCCAAGGTTTGGCACCACTGATTCTCGGCATCATCTTTACGGTTGTGATTTGGAGAGATTGGTGTCGGAGACTTCCACGTTGCTGCAGTTGCCGTCCAAGACCCTGAGACCCGAGCGTTTCATGTTGTCACAGGGCGTAGGTGTTGTTTGGGATTCTGGTACAGCAGTGCCATGATTCTGGGCTTTCTTCGCTGTCGAGTTGTTCAACTGGTCAAGGCCAGTCACCGTTTCCCCATGTGTGGACGGCAACGATCAATGTCCTTATTGGGCAGCGATCGGCGAATGCGAGGCTGAGAACTTTCGACGTTGCTTGAACTGGCGACTGTTGCTTCAGCATAGTAGGGTGTCGCAATGGGATCAAAAGCTAGCAGTAACCGGCAATGGATAGGTGATGTTGTTGCCGGATACTAGAAAGCTTGGGCAACGTTGTCTTTGTCACCCTGCAGCAGCATGTGACCCCGTGTCGAATTCGTGTCGTGCCAACAGCCGTGCAAGGCAAACCCACGCTTCATGTTGGAAGTTTGCCGCGCATCCTGCCACGTCTGTGCTGGCGACGAAGGCTTCGTTTGCTGGTTGGCAATGAAAAAGTTGTGAACTCATGTCGATCTTTCGATCCGGGCGTAGGTTCCCTGCGCATGAAGCTTTACAAACAGCTGGAGCAGAACATGAAGCCGAGGCACAGATTGCAGCAGCGTTCCCGTGCTGACAGGTCAGCTGTGCATCTACAGTCCGTAGCCATGGAGTCATCACATCATCCCAAAGGTTTCCCTCCTCTTTGGTCAGCACTTTTGTCGCATCGCCCCTGTGTTTTATTTCCTGTTGGTTTTTCGTCGGTACAGGCAGCAATCGTGCTGTGCGTATGTCCAGAGAGCAGGCTCAACCTGGAATCTTGTAACAGGGACTGCTTCAGTCGTATGGTCGCATCAGGGATCGCAGCCCGGACGATTCAGGTCCAAGACGGCAATACGCGACGTCCAGTTGATCGAGGTTCACCACTGTTTCGCGAGCAGTATTGAATTTGCTTGCATGTCTGTGAAGCTTCCGTGCGATCTTGATGACGGACCTGCTACATGCAACAGTTCCACAAGCGTGTGTCGAACGTGTCTGCCTACAGCTGCTGACTTGATGAGAAGACAGGTTTCCTACAGTCCACGAGCTCTACTTGTGGAAGAGTGACTCCTGCTCCAGTTGTTTTGACATGTCGAATGCTCGGACAGATGACAGGTGCGAGGACTATCCGCAACCTTTGGGTGGACTTTCTGTTGCTAGCGGCCATCAGAACTCTTTCGTTCAATATTTACTTCTGCTTCAGTGACTGGTCTGATGCTGCAGTGGCCAGGTTTCTGTCCAAAGAAGAGTGCGAGGCAGCTTCTGTGGTCGATGTCTCGCCAAAGTGGTGGTTCGAATGTCTGCATGATGAAAAGTTTACATGTGCAGGCACTCAAAAGAATGGCTTCACCACGGCTTCAGGATGCCAAGACCATAAATCGAAGCACAGGTGCTTGGAGTGCTTTCCACTTTCTTGTAGAGCGGAGTCTTATTGCCGAGTGTGCAAAGGAGCTGCTTTGCCCGACAAAGTGCGGACGAACTCTCAGATGTACTTCGACCAGGCCAGCCACTACCAGGCTCAGACCAGCTTTGACCCGAGTGGTTGCGAGACATTGCATCGGTTCTGACAACTGTTTGCTGAAGTGATGGAGGATCCTATGGTCGTGGCAATCCAAGAACGTATGCAAGTTCTGGCGCGGATTCCACCAGGGCATGGCGAGCCTCTGCAGGCCCAGCAAGTTTGCATTGTCCGAGTCTTCCCTGCTCATGCTGTTGTGTGCATGCAGCGTGATGCTTCTTGAAGGGTTGGCTATTGTTCAGATCAGCGGGTATTTTGATACATGCCTAGCGCACCAGATCTTGCGTTGCCGGCCACTTGTGAAAGGTAGGGCGGTACCGCGTGGGCGAGCATCTTGGGCCGAAGCTTGTTTGTTTAATGTGGGACCATGCTTCCATACAAAATGCGATGTACGTACTCCTCAGCAGTTGGCTGCCTGAGGTTTTACCAGCCTCACTACGATTCGGAGCCCGCACAAAATGTGCGGCGCGCAGCGACTGTCCTCGTATACCTGGAGCCACCAGAGGCTGGGGCATTTCTAGTAGGTGAAAAGTCTCCGAGACACAACACGGCTCTCTGTGCGAAGGCAGGAGGTGAGACGATCTTCCCAAAGCATCGCCGGTGCCAGGACACTGCCTGGCTTCCGCAGCTTCTGTCATTGCTTCATTACTTGGCAGTTTCTCTGATCCTCCCTTCACGAAGGAGGCTGACTTCGAAGATTGCTGCTCCCGCATCGAGGCAGCAGCGGGCACATGGCTTGTACACAACACTGCAGCACGTTGCCTATTGCAGAAGCAGCTGTGCCTCTTCTTGTCAGTGGTGGCGGTGAGAGTTGGTCGTGGGGAGCTGGTTACGGCGAGTTGAGGGGAGCTGGCTCCAGAGCCAGGCTGGACACCGCTGAGAATAGTACTGCCTGTCAGGAGTTGGTGGTCAAAGAGGGCGGCGGCTTCGCCGTCGGGTTCCTGTCACACATGGTGTGCAAAATGGGCTGCACAACTCAGGTGTTTTTGCTTCCATCCTCTCAATTTACACCAGGTCAAGGCAGAAGCGGGCACAGCTGTTCTGTTCTTCTCACACGACCTTGACGGCCAGTCCAAGCCTAAGTGGGTGTCGACAGGCCAAAACGGTTACAAGGTGCTAGGTGCAGCATTCTGGAGCACTTTTGGGGAAGTGCATTGCCATGTGCGGAAAACGCTGCAGGCACAATCCGTTGTCAATGCACGCATCTTGCCCCGTTCTGCAAAGACATGTTTGTGTCGGGTGCGTCTTATGTCAGTCGTCGGTCGGAAGCTGAAGCTCCTCACCAAAGAAAGCAGTTTTACATGCAAGGAGAGAAATGGGTTGCACAGCAGTGGTTCCGTCTTGAGCGCGGGCCTTAAGTTCCCTTGCCGGGCTAGATGCTAGGTCACTTTGTCACTTTCCCATCCATGAGCAAAGAGCTTGAAATCTGCTGTGGTGCTGTATGATCACATTACGCTGCTACACGCTCAAGTGCGTACATGCCTTCAAGGCCTTATGCTGGAAGCCCTTTCTTCCAGTTCCGAAAGCCGGTGGAAGGCAGCGAAGGCCTAAACTGCACAGACTTACGGAGAGTGCCCTCTCTCTCTCTCTCTCTCTCTCTCTCTCTCTCTCTCTCTCGCGTGCATTGCTCAGGAGACGCAGAGCCTCGGCCTCAAGAAGAGGGCGATGGCCCACCTGAGCTGTAGCTGCCGCAGGTCGTATCGATTCCTAGAGTCCTAGAGATGCTCTCGAAGAGGCGCCGTAAAAAAGTTCGTCTTACAACCATGCGTTTCCTCCTCTCTTGACGACAGCATTCTCTGGGCAAGTTTGGCCGGCAGATGATGGTGATGGCCAGTTCCAGCACAGATGCAGCTGCTCTGCTGACACACTTGTTGGCCTCGCTGCTGTCTCTTGAGCCACCTGGCTCCAGCTCGGAATCATGCCGAGCGACCAAACTGACAGGCAAGTCTTTCAAGCATCGGCACTTGCCCGCGGAGACCCCTTACACCCACCCGCTGCAGCCAAATCTCAAGCCCACCACACCATCGCACCCCAATTCACAAGTTCAAGTCTGCCTCTGCATAACAAGCAACTCGCGCTAGCTTTCAGAGGTCTTTACTCGAAGAGAACTTGCCTCTCCAATTGAGTGCATGCCATGTGCATCGTGTCCTCCGAGGCCTGAGCTCAGCTTCAAGCGGCAACTGTTGAAGAGCCATATGAAAACCGGTGATATAGCACAGTTTCGGAAGAACCCCAACGGAGAACTCTCCAGTGGCTTCCTGGAAAGGGGGTTGGGCAGGACCGCGCGCAATCTGCACTGCGGGCGGTGGCTCAGTTCGCCAATGTGGCGGGACAGGCTGCGATGCACACTTACGGGAATGAGTTGACTTCTTGCTTCAAGACCGTGCAATGAGTTTCGTACTCATTTCATGGAACAGCCCTATGTGTATCGCACTTTAGAGGTGCAGCACGAGGAGTTGCGGACAGCCTCCTTGCAGGCAGGACGGCAGACAGAGAAGGGACCAGGAGCCCTCTGACTCTGAACAGGTCGCCCACGAGGCACTGGCGCAGTGCGAGGCTGTCCGCTTTGGTATGTTGTCCTGGGCTGCTAACACCGTTGCTTCAGGGCTCCGTCCGGACGGTTTGCTCAGGCGCATGGCCAGCGTTGTGTCCAGTTCCTCCTGGAAGCACTGCAGAAGAGCACCAAGGCCTAGAAGGGCCGAACTGTTTGGGGTATTTAGAACAGTGCGAAGGCTTTGGTACAAGTTTTTCACTCCAGAAGATTTCATGTACCATTGTGTTGCTCGTAAGTTACGTATTATGCCTGTTGCGTGTCCGGCCCTTCTGGCATGAGCAGAGGCCAGCGCGAGTGCCGCCGAGGATGTAATCTGGATGGTCTACAAGGCTCAAAGAACGGCCCGCAAAGTGGCTTCGGGCATGGTGTGTCATGTTCTTCGGTCGTGGTCTTTGCGTTGCAGGTGGCACGAAGAAGCGACACAGCCAAGGCTTACAGGTGCCGAACGATCACTTCATTCCAGGGTCATCCCAGTGCAGGCATGGATACTTCAAGCAGGCGGCGTGTCTGTCTTGAAGGCCGGTTGATGCTCGTATCCTCTGCCCAAGTTATGATGCGCGGTTCGTGATTTGTTCATACTCGTCGGCATCCCTGAAGTAATTATGGGCATCAACCCGTGCGATCCGTCATGATTCTTCGGCTTCAGGCCGCCCTTCTTTGTCATGCCAACCAGCCGTTTGCCCCAGAAAGACAAGTGAAATTTGTGCTCGGAAATGCATCTTGTCAGTGCACCACGCAGGACCTCTTAGTCTTATTCGTGCGCTGCTTGCTTGCTTTCCGACATTTTCCGAGGGCACAGCTGCTGGAGAACGGCGTGTGGACAGTGTGCCAGCCCTGGCGCTGTTTTACGCAGTAGGCAGCAATGTCATGCCCTGAGCATGCATGAGTGCATGCATGCGTGCAACTGCTCACGTACATAAACTCCCCCCCACTGTCAGCTTCGTTTTTGCTGATACACGTTTCTGTGCATGTGTGTGTTGGTGGCTGTGTGTTCAAGCCTCCGTTTTTGCATGCGTTTTTGTATGCCTCTACGTCTGCAGATGGGTTTGGTTCAGGCCACGACGCACAAAACAGCAATTTCACGGGGCGGTTGGGGGGAGCGCGGAGTAGCACATATGTCTAGATATATATATATACACATGTATATATGTATCTGTACAGGTATATGTATACATACATATATATGTATGTATATGTATATGTGTATATATATATATGTGTATACGTATATATGTATATATGTATATGTATATATATATATGTATATGTACATATGTATATATGTGTATATGTAAATATGTATATATGTATATATGTATATATGTATATATGTATATATGGGCATACATCATATACATGCACTGAGGTACAAGTCTGTGTGCGCGCATGATGGCAGAGCTGTGTTGGATAGTGCAGTGTATAAGTGTCTGAACATATATATATATACATATTTCTGTATGTATGTATGTATGTATGTATGTATGTATGTATGTATGTGTACACGTGTGTTTGTATATTTGTGAAATAGGTAACTTTGCATGCTTTTCGTATACATACGTGTAGACATTTGCATGTCCATATGCGATGTGCATATACATATACATATAATTACATGTACGCATACATATGCACATACATGAACGTGTATGTGTGTACATAAACATACACAGATATGTACCACCATTAACATGCAAATAAAGACAGAAACAAGCAAATAAAAATATATAAATATACAAATAAATATAAACTTAAATTATATATATATATACATATATATATACATACATATATATATATAAATGTGCATGTGTGTGTGCGTGTGTATGTATGCAGGTACGCATCGGCAGTTGTGTGCATGTGCATTCATCTGTTCGTTTGAACATGCAGATATACATTATAGGCCAATATACACATGCATGTCTATCTGTGTCTATCTATCTATAAATAATCACATATGCCATTGCAAAGGCACGCATACGCAAGTGCGTACCTTCCTACCGATCAGCCTGCCAGCCAGCCTGCCTGCCCGCTTGCCTGCTTGCCTGCTTGCCTGCCTACGTACACGCGTAGATGCATACATGCGTACACCCACATGGAAACGTGCAGATATTACAAGCAGAACTCCAGCCAATTCCAGATGTCTCCTTAATGCAAGGTCATTTTTTGTTGCATGTGCAGCTTTACAAGCTGTATGTGCTGGCACGTATGGTGCACTCACACACACATGGATCTAAAGGTGTGCATCATTGTCTACGGCAATACATCATGCCCCAATGTATTCACATATCCGGGTTAATTTGTACATACCAGAGTGTGTGCCGTCGACTTAGCATATATAGTGTTTGTTTCCACACGCATGTATGCATGATCCCGCGTCCGAGAGTCCTACTCAGCTGGCTGATCGAGCCTGTTACGGGTGCGATCCTCGTGTCGGTGGCTTTCGGAGACTGGGATCATATCCTGATGTGCATGCATGACTGTCGTTACTCGTTCACGGGGCAAACGGGATAGGGTTCGTACCGGAGCACAACCCGCGACCCAAACCAGAGGGGGTGGACGAGGTGTATGGTGTCCATGTACAGCCAAGCAACCACGCACCGCAGGCACGCCTCAAGCGGGCTCGGGCGTGACCGTACCATTTGGGAGAGGATGGGGGTACTGCAGCCCTGGACAAGGGCACACGCATGTAGGATCAACATGTGCACCATCCTGGCTAGATTCAGATAATCGGACGGTTTCAGCATTGCTTGAGCGCCTGTGCCTGCTGAGGTATGCTCTCGAAGGGCTGCGGTCTCTGGCAGAGCTCCTGGAGGGGCCCGGGACCAAACGGAGTCTTCATGTCAAAGTTCTTGGAGACAGTGGCGTCGCAAGTTCTCATGCCATCCCACAGACAGCGTTTACTTGAAGACAGGCTTCTATGTGGTGTGAACTGCGGCAGGTTTGCAAAACACTTGCGGTAGTTCTGGTGCATCTCTCCGTGTCCCTTTGACTTTGAGGCTCAGCCATCGGAACTTTAAAACCTGCAAAATCAGGTGTCGGGGGACCAGCGCCGAGGAGGTTGCCGTGCGTGGGGCCATTTGTGGAGCGTTGTATCACCTGGTTGCGTCCCGAGATTGGAAGAAAGGTTCGGTCTAACATGGCCGTCAGGGCTTGGATTGCAATTTGGTGACGAGGTTGGTTCAAGCTCCGGGAACAGTCGGATGCGCCCAGCGTAAGGCATGGGTGAAATTGGCTTCTCAGGTCAGCCCGAGGCGAAAGTCAACGTCAGCTCTGGCTGCCGCCGAGGCAAAATTGAATGAATTCATGCTCTGAGGTCATAATTTTGGGACTTTGGGACACTGAAAACGGGTCGCTGGCAGGTCGTGCAACCAGAGAGCGTGGTGGTGCTGCTGTCCGAGGCCATCTGTCATCAGAAGCTGATTCGAGCTGGAGGCTTTTTCCCAAGGAAGACGTGGCTTGTGGTAGGGCGAAGACTGATACAACTTCGAGCAACAGGTTCAGATTCAGGCACAGGCCTTCGACTGTTGAGTTGGTACCTGACCGATGGTTGCAAGGTGTTAAGCATCGGCGGCCTTGATGAAGATGCGTGCCACACTCAGCTATTACAGGAGGGATCAAAGCCAGAATCCGAAGTCATGTAGAAACTCCCTAAGTGGTTGATGCAAGCCCGAGCGGCACATACCAAGCTTTTGTCTAGCTGGTGGAGTGTGGGCAAAGGTGGAGCTCAGAGTAAAGCTTTGCATCCAGGCTTTGGGCAACGTGCACTACCTTGGAGACCCTTGTTGACAAGGTGGGTTAGAGCTCCCAGGAACCTCTCATGATTGGCGGCTGCCGGGCTCGAGCTCCGGGCTCTGCCTCTCTGGTCTCTGAGAAGTCACTGACTCCATCTTCTCGCTACGACAGTCACTAAGCTTCACTTTGAAGAGTCGACTCAAGATGTCTGTGTAATTCTGCTGTACATGCGATAAACCTTGATGCCCCGCAGGACTTGACAGTGAAGGATGCAGCCATGTTCTCATGCAGTCATGTGTTTAACTTTTTTCAGTTTTTCTCCGCCTTTTGGAAAACCTTTTCTCGCATGGTTTCTTTCGCTTTTCTCTTTCTCAAAACAGTCTTTCATGTGCAGGGGGCGACGGGGTCGTTCAAGTGGCCGTCGCCAACGAAGCTCCACTTGATTCGACCAGGTAAACGTACCTGCCAAAGTAAATGCACGGCCTGGGTGTCTGCGTACACAGCTGGTGTGCAGCTAGTTTCCAGTTTTGTTGAAATCAGGTTTTTCAAAAAAGGTGAAGGCTCAGAGTGACGTCAATTTTCGTGCATTAGTTTCCAGTACATCCTCTACAAGGCAGGGTCCGAACTGCACCGGCAATGTTGCCATCCAAGCTGTGAGCCTCAAGCTCTTCACTGGTAGTGCAACTCAGCTTTTAAACTTTCCATCTCCAAAAACGGCACAAGACATCCACTGCTCTCTGCTCTGCTCGTGTCTCGGCTCTTGCAGATGCTCTCGTCTCGGCTCTGGGAGGACGCGCGCCTGGCATTTGTGGTGGCCTCACGTGGAGGCGGAGCCCTGAACTCGTGTCATGCAGAAGCGGGTCAGGGGACGTCAAATCAAGCCGTTCGGAATGACAGCTCTTTGTGGTATTGGCCTGCAGCTTTCTCCTCTCAAGCTTGTTCAAAAGCATGGTGTAGAGTCAGCAGGCCGGAGGCTCGGAGAAGTACATGGGCAACGTGTGCAAGCACAGCACTAGCATGCCCAGGCTGCAGACGGCCTCAGCATGGATCAGATAATCAGGGTCGCCAGCTCAAGACCTGCTCTTCTGCTTTCTGGGCAAAGCCTCCAACCTCAAGTTGAAAAGCAGAATCGTCTGCAGAGAGACTAAAAAAAGGGACGCCCTTGTTCTGATAATACATGTCGGCTGCATCCCTGATTGCACGTTTTGTGAAGTGAGCGGGAGGGGTCCAGTGCTCACGTGGAGCCGATCACTTCTCCATGCTTTTGTTCCGAGTATCCCTCAGGAATCCCCAAACCACACAGAACAAAAACGGCGCCAAGGATTTGGTCCTTTTGCCGGTTTCTGCAGCATCTGATCTCGTCACGAAGGGCTGGTGCGCCAATGGTCAGCCTTTTCTGCAAGGCCCCATCTAAAGCTCGTGCATTTGCAAGTTGCGGATGTGGCGTCTTATGCTCAAGCTGATTAGAAGTTGAAGCTGCCGCAAATCTGCCTTATCACAGCCCCAGGTACACCTCGAACTTCCGTCAGATCCGTGAGCTTGTTCAGGAGTGTGGGCTGTTTCGTGGATGCTTCTTGCCCATGAAGCCGGAGACGATTCCAGGATCCCGACTATCAGTCTGGGGAGGTGGATCCCGATGAGCCGGTCCTCGAGGCCAGGCGTCCGGCAGGTGTCCTCAGGGTTGCCGATACGCAGACCTGGGAAGGTCGTCGTTGGCGACGCGAACATGAAGGCCCAGTGGCTTCTGTTTCGCAATGCAAACTCTCGCAGTTCATGAAGGAATCCATGGTCTGCAGGCCACGGCTTCAGCAACGCCTACTTTTGTGAGGCCCGCAGCCCATGGCCCATGGCCAGTTGATATGTGGCCGTGGGATGACTGCGGGGGGGGGGGGGGGGGGGTGTCCTTCAGTGGTATCCTACACTACACCAGAGACTCAGTGAAAGCCATTGCAGCGCTGGCGTCAGGATCTTCATGGACCGGGAAAATGTGGGAGCTTCTTGGTCTTGCACGTACAAGAGGATTGTCGGACACTTCACCTCCCAGCATCTTGTCTGCGAGACTTTCCAGTGAGACGACCAAGGAGACCTCTCTTCAGAAGAAGCGGCCCTTCAACACGCCGGTCTGGAACGAACGACTCTGGAAGCAAATCAGAGTCAGAGTGGTAATGGTGTAGGTGCAGGAGTGCACAGTGCTTTACACTTGAACTAGTATTGTTATCCAAGCGCAAGTAAGAAGACATGCATCAGCTTCAAGCTGTTTCCCGAAAGCTCTCGATGAGGATTCTTGCTGCTACCGTGCGCTTCCTTCTCCACACGCTTCGAGGCCACGTGCAGCTGAAGACATGTGCAAGCCCTCGCGTCGCATACAGCTCAGGTCGTTGACACGTGGGACCGCGTCCTCGGCCACTGTACCATTGGCACTCAGAGCCTGTGGCGTTTCTCGGCCGAATCAAAGCTGTCGCAATGGCACATGGATCCAACGTGCAAAAGGCACGAACGCGCAAGACAGGCATGTGAAGTTGGAAGCCCTTCAGGTGCAGCAGAGCATTCCGGACAAGTCTCCGTGGAGCCGCGAGCTCAGCCGAGGGAGGGGAAGCTTTTGGGAACTTTGTGTCATCGCTACGCGAGGCTGCCGCTGCAGCAGGGGAAGGGCCTGAACGGAAAGATTTGGGTCCATTCTCGGCCCTGGGATGGTCTCCCTCTGCCAGAGAGGCGTGAGCTGAGACATGACAGCTGAGAGCCAGAACTGCAAAAAGCCGACTGACGAGGCCCTGGTGGCCTCGAGCGCAGGAGCTACACGAGGCACGCGGAGCAGAGCCGTGGAGCGAGCGCCACGTTGGAGTTCGTTTGAGTTCTATGCCATTCTATCATGAGGACACATGGTCACCACTTCGTATGCAGGAAGGCAGGGAGCTCATTTAGCTGGGTTTAAGCCTGAGCCACACAAACTGTCAGGCACCGAGGAGGACGTAGTAGGGAGCTTGCAGCCTGAGGCAGGACGACATGCAGTTTGTTAAGAGCGGCTTCTCGGGAAAAACCATCCGGAATCCACAGGATACCGGCAAAAGCCGAGCCAAAGTTCTCAGCAGCGACCTCTTCTCCCGAATAGACAAGGCCGGCAAGATACCTCCGCCTCCTTCGGAGATATGCCATAGCACGGAGGGGTGAAACTTGCATGCTGCAAGCGCGCGGCTGCTCAGGATCGCACGGGCTCCATCACCCGTGCAGAGTTCGAGGCAGCCCTGCGGAGTGGTGCGATGTCTCCGCCCGCGACCCAGAGAAGAAAAAGCAGGAAAGAACACCCAGAAGCGCCGAGTTCACAGGCAAAGCCCGGCTCCGCAGACGCAGGACGGGCCTGGAAGAGTCGGTTCTTTTTGGTTTGGAATTTCGGAGAGGATTTTGGGAGAGAGACGTGATTATAACACTTGAGGCGCGAGAGCAAATGCGAACACAGGCTGTGCGAGCTTGCGACACGGTACGGGGCGGTTTCCCGCTTGTCAGAGTCGTCGAAGGTGGCGCAGAGCCCTTCAATCATTTGGCCCCAGCCGGTGCTGACCCAAGATTCTGGTCAAGTTGCCGTGGCAAGGTCCATGAGACAGCTCACTGTGCACATCGGCTGGAGGTGAAGCCATCGGCACAAATCAGCGCGCCGCAGATTTTGATGCCCATGTCGCCTCAGGTGCAGTTGGGACGGGCTCGGAGTTGACTAATCTGCAACTTTATACTTTGGGCTATTTTGGGCTGGCAGACTGTTCTTTTGCACAAGGTGCCTGCAACGTGACTTCCCAGGCACAATCCCCCAGCGGAGTCCTGTCTCAGTTCGCAGCCACTGTTCCTCCGCAGCCCGTGAGGCTCTCGGAGGGAGCTTGTGGGTTCCATGAAGTGATGGAGCTTTATCTTTTGTGAGTCTGCTGCGACTCGCAGCTTAGGTAGTATCCCCATCCAGCACTCCTCTGGTACAGTTTGCTCAGTCAATGCCTCCTCAACCGGTGCGAAGCTCAGAGCACCTGTTGCAGACTTGCTGATCTCGTGCTGTGTCCTGTGCAAACGCGTTTGGGTCCTCTCCTCCTCGGACTCTTCTCCTCCTGTCTCCTCCTTCCTTGGTTTCCACCTCTCCTGCAGGTGAAGCCTGAGGCCGGCCCAGCGAGTCCCGGAACCTCCAAGGCTCGGGGCCCAGTGGCCCAAGGAAGATCTTTGCTTTCCCTCGAGTTGGATTCGGCTTTTCTGCAGGATTTGTTTGCGAAGATTGACAAGGAGAGCTGGAAGCTGTTTTGATGGTCCGACGAAGTGACGTGCTGCACCTGAGAGGACGGCAGCGGCAGCATCACCCGGGCGGAGTTCGAGCGCGCGATCCGCCAGGGCGAGCTCCAGTCCCAGCACGGAGCCCCAGGAAGGGCAAGGCTGCAAGGCCCGGCTACCCGATTTTGGTAAGTGCACGAATGGAGCTGATCCTTCGACTTCTCTGTATCTTCTCAAGACTTCCTTCACCATTCCTCTCGTCTTGTGAGTGTTCTATGAGGCACTCGATGGGTCGTGGTCAGGCGCAGGGGGTTGTAGCACATCTGTGGCAACGCAGAAGAATGCGTATCACAGTTGGTGTTGAAGCCGCTACGTTCCACAGGAAAGCCTTTCTCTGCCGATAGGCAAAAGCTGCAGCCTTGGAGTTACCGCAGCCTCGATGCCGGCTTGTAAGCAACGCAAGTGCAGCTCTTCCTCAACAGCGCGTGTCAGTCGAAAGCAGGAGGCTCCGAAAGCAACTCACCAACATCAGGCCGGTCGGCGGAGGGCCCCAAGGTGGCTTCGCCACAGCGACCTGCGACGACGGTGCTCCTGTCAAAGCTTTCAGCATGCAAGGGATGTGGGACGGGTGGAACGAAGAACTTAAGGCACAATCCGCAAACTGCTCTTCCTGCATCTGTTCATGCACGCATGGAACGACATCCTCCAGAACACCCCATCCAAGATGACCTTTGTGTGACGCTGTCTTGAGTGCAGACAGACATACGATTTGGCCTGCTCAGAGGCATGCAGAGACGTCATGGGTGAAGCGGGTCAAGCATTGAACGAAGCTGCAGAGCAAGTGTTCGAGGGCAGAGACCGGCTACAGAGCCAGGATCCTCTCCGAGGCTACGGCAACCCACTCTCGCTCTGGAGCTTGTCCTGCCAGAAGATGCATGCGCCTTGCCAGGCGCTCTCGGCTATGCCCCCGAGCCCCAGGCAGCACGGCATGGGCCCGTGATGCTGTGCAGGCGCGTTGCAGATCGCAGGTCGCAGAAGACCAACTCCCAGCCCTCGGCCATAGCCCCAGATGAGCTGCGCTCGAAGCGAGCTTCCACCCTCGGCTTTGCGACCTGCCGAGACCCCCAAGCAGCCGCAGCAGCCTGCCCTGGCCTCCTTGCCACCACGTCTCAAGGAGCCGAGAGCGAATAATTCGAGGTTGCAGGTATGTGCGTTTTGGAGAAACCTGCGTTTTTGACAGGCAGCGGGCTTCAACCTTTGATGCCAACAAGGCTGCAAGTCCGGAGGCACGTTGCCATCCGGTTCACAGAATATCTTGAATCTACGAAGGTAGGCGCCTGCTTGCTGGCCCTTGGACGTGTCCGGCAGAGATGGTAACGCGGCCTCTCTCTTTCAGAGAGCCACTCCATGCAGAAGCGATAAGTGCTTCTATTGTCTCACAAGTGACCGAGGGCTGTACATATGAGGTTGCCACCCCGCCTGTCCAAACAAATACAACGTCTCAAAGGAAACGAAAGATGCATGTGGTAGCTCAGTGGACTTGTGATGTGATCATCGACTAGTCACCAGTCTTGTCACTTGTGTGCTTTTAGTTGTCTTCTGATTAAAACCCCACTCACCTTGCAACCGCCCGCGCACATACTTTTGTGAGTGATCTCGTTCGCTGGACTGAGCAGTGTGGGAGATCGGGCAAAAAGTGGAAAAGGCAGTCAACGGATGCCCGGATGAATTGATCGACCACGGGAGTGTGTGTTCTCCACTTGTGTGTCGAAGTCGTTCTGATCTTTGCCTCGCTACGTGCGAGCAGCCGAGAGTCAGCTTCCTGGTAAGCGACCACGGCCGACTCCTGAACTCGGAGAGACTCTCCGAACTCGTTTTTGTTGTGCAGGTTGCCACATCTTAGTGCAGCTGCTCCGCTCGCCACGAGCAGCCGGTCCCACGGGCCAGGCCCGGGAAGAGCCGCAACGAAAAAAAGCTCCCGAGTTCTTCTCGCCAGGACATCCGCAAGGTCCTTGCCTGCCTGATGCTCGCACTTGCGGATGCAAGTCCGGAGGCAGTTCAGGCGACTTGGACGACAGCCAGCTAACAGCTTTAGTTTGCAGTATTTGCAGTCCAGCAGGGTTATGAGCCCTCGATGCAAGACTCCAGGCACTGCAGGCGGCGGGTGCATGTCCCGCGCTGGCGCAGGTGGGGTGTTGGCCGTTGGACACATGCAGACTAGTGGAACAGAAGCCAAAAATCTGCATACGAGAAGAGTCATGAGCCATGGCATTTTCGGTTTTGATGACAGTCCTCTACTTCCCGTCTGAACAGGAGGGTCTGCAGGGCGACGGAGCGGATGCAGAGGCGGTCCTTTCAGGCGGCTGTTCTCTTCCTCGCTGTTCTGGCGCCTTGACCAAGGCAGCCATGTGGGCTCTTGGGGCCATCGGCGGTCTCAAAGACGTTCTGCAGGAGACAGTCGGGATTGTTGCGGCATCCTGCGCCACCACTTTGATGGCAACGCATCTGAGAAATTTGTTATCGCCATGCATTCCAGCTGCGGCTTTTTGTGCTTAGATAATGGAATGAAAGAAGAGAATGAAGCATGCCTTTTCTTTCTTAAATTTAGGTCATTTCCCCTTGTTCACCGCATGCTTTCGTTACGTTCATATTTCTCTTATTCCATTTATTACGCTCTTCCCACGTTCACCTGTCACGAAGTTAGTTGCAAATTCATCTAGTTCCTGGAGAGTTCGTCTTCTCTCTCTACACCCTACATTACACTCACTCCTTTCCTATAATGTAATGTAAAGAGAGAGCGAAGCGAATGGCAACGAAATAAAACAAAGAAGGAACGGATGCGTGTTTATTTCGTTCACATTCCCTTCGTTCACCTTTACACCTATTCTTGTAGTGTAATAATGAAGATAATGGAATGAAAGAACAGAATGAAGCATGCTTTTTCTTTCTTAAATTTAGGTCATTTCCCCTTGTTCACCGCATGCTTCCGTTACGTTCACATTTCTCTTGTTTCATTCCCTGTTTCCTTGCGCAGGCCATGAGACATTGTGGGCCAGACTCCCGGTGACGTCTGAGAAGATGTCGGCAGGATCCAAGCGAGTCTGCGCAAGAATGCCAAGCCTTGCATCCAGCTTCCCGAGGCCTGGCAAGCCCAGCGTGCTGAGCGGCGGCGCGCATGCGGTGGCCGAGCACTGCCCTCACCACATTGTCTCTGAGGCAAGTCTGGCCGGTCCTCTACAGCAGTGGCACGGTCAGTGTGGATAGATGATGGGTGACGTACATCAGGGTATGGGTGCCGCGCCGCATTGCAGCTTACGCTTCAACTTCGGACTGAGACTTGTCGAACACATTGCGAGCACAGCATCTAAGCAAGCCAGATAGTCCAGCCTTTAAATCCAATCCGGCCCATCGGCTGTGAATCTTCTCACTGAGTGCTGGTTGCCATGGCGCCGCACACCATGTTGCGTACGAGAGTGCACAAAGCTCGTGCGGCTTTCGTGCCTCGTCTTTGCCAACATGTCCAGCATGCGCGGTATCCAATCTGGCAAGTGATGCGAATTGAGGGTTTAGGGGCGCAAGTGCAGAATCTGAGGTTGTCGCGGTTTGTGGTACTTGCATTCTCTGCCACAGTCAGAGCTTTGTCGCCGCCCCGACGGTCGACCAGGAGTCTTGCATGTCCGGTACACTGAAGACGGGATGCATGCTTGTCGTATTCTAGCAAGCTTCAATCGGGATCATGTAGATTTTCTTGTGAACACTCGCACGGATGTCATGTTTCAGTTTCAAGATCATACTGTGATGGAGCAGTTGCACTTTGAAGGCAATGCCAAGGCTGCACGCTTGGAGGAACCCAGTCTGTCTCCGAGGATTCTTCCTCTGTCCGCCCGGCTGCAGCTGCATGTGGCGCAGTTCTTGGCGCGAGCTGCTCAGCTGTGGCTGAGGCAGCGGGTGCTCCCTTCCTGCATGACACAGTAGGCTGCAGTTCGTGGTTTGTGCGGGCAAGGTGGCGCTGGAGAGTTGTACTAGATGGCCCTGCTTCAGGCACTTCCTCCCGCACCAAGCGGCATAAACACGTTGCCTGACGCGGAGCAGGCCAACAGTGCGGTGCTCATGTTGTTCATCTGGGGAGCTCTCCAACTAGGGGCCAGCTTCAAAATCGCTACACGAGACATTTTGCGACACTCTTGTAGCAAGGACCTGAAGTAGGGGCCCAGTGCACAGAAGTGCTGTGACTGCTATGACAAGCCTTGCAGAGGCTGCCGTGGTGATTTTTCTCCTCGTGGGCCTTGCTGCTGGCACAGTTGCCTTAGTTGGGCCCATCTTCGGATTCCTGCAAGGACCCAGGGGACCCAACAAAATGGAAGCCGGAAAGAAGGGTTCATGCATTCCTGGATTTGAGCCAGGAATTCTCCCGGAGGGCTGGTTCAAGACCTGGCGAAAGACGTGGCCGATCTTGGGTGCCTTCTATATGGCTGCAGGCCGTGTTTCGGGGCCTTGCCCTTGCGCCAATTTGAATTTGAGGCGGCCGAGAGTCAAGGCAACCCGCAAGAATGCCCGGTAAGAAGTATTGAATACTCGGACACATGCCACAAAAACACGCCGACCCCCTGAACAGATCAAACATGTTTGGGGGGGTTGTTAGATGTTGTTTGGGTACAAAAACCCGTACGGCCGAACCAAGTGTCAGTGCCGTCTGACTGACTGCAGTTCTTGACGAAGGTCTTTCTCATGGTGACGAGGATCTGTAGCACCAACAGTTGTTGACATTCGAGCAGGTACGGTTGACTTGGTTGCCTCGGCCGTTTCCTTGTGATGGGGAGGTGTCGCCCACTTCACTGCGGCGGATGCCTTTGAAGCCATCTACCCGCCTCAAGGCGCCGGGAAGAGGGGGAACAACGTCTATGAAACATATGATGCTGATAGCCGCCAGATAGACATCTCCTGAAAAGTAGAAAAATTCCTTGATGCAGGTACATGGGGCTTCTGGTACTTGCCTGGAAGCGCAGAATTCCATGTGGCGTGGACAGGCCGGGCTTGCTGCAGGCTCAAGTAACTCAAGTATATCAGGTCTGCATAGGAATTGTATGCGATTGTGCAGTTGTGACAGCTGACAGGTGTCGCGGAGATTGCTGGGGGCTCCGGCCTCTTCCTGGGGTCACTGCTCCTGGGACTGGCAGGCGGGTGAAAGGGGATGAAAGGGGAAGGAGTGCGCCGACATGTAGCTTCAGCGCAGGGGCCTTCAATTGGGAGCTGCCGGCAGTTCTGCGCTCCATTCCTGCGACACTGGGCCTACATTTCTGGAGACATCCACAACGCACGAAAGGCGATTGCCATGAGATTGCTTTCCAAAGAAGATGTAGATTGCTCAGCTCGTAGCACCGGGGTCTTGTGCAGAGCGGGTTGTGAACATTTGATTCAGTGGGGGTTGAGGGCTGGCAGCATTGGAGTTGCTGAGGCTCTCAGCCTTGGGCCTCTTTGCGTTGACGTGGGCAGTGCCTTGTCGGCGCTTGGCTTGACGGCTTGACGTGTGCATTTTCTTCATCTACCTCTTTGAGGTAACTCCTGCGAACATCTACATGTACACCCATGGAGCTCAGATGATAGGCCGTCCTGCCAGCTCTCCCTTTCCGCCTTGCTCATTCCTACTTGCCAGTTCCTGCAGGTCTCACGCCCGGCGACCAGCCTATCCCAGTGGACCGGGTGTGTTGAAAGAGCAAAGGGGCGTTTCGGCACAGGAAGCCTTCAGAAGTTGGGAGTTTTGCGCCGCTCCCAGGAGTTCCATGCAGTCCGCGGCCTTCTCCAGGCCTGGGGCTGCATGTTCGGTGGCATGCAAGGGCACTCTTTCCTTCCCGAGGTGGTGCTGCTGGGCATCCTTTGGGGCTACTACAGCGCTTTCAGCTGCATGCAAGGATCCCCCGACAAAACCTGCGATTTTCTGTTCAGTTCGCCAAGGTGCAGCCCGAGAGGAGACCCGAGAAGCCTGAGACATGAAGGGCACACGAGCTCACACGAGCAACCCAAGTAAGCGGTATGGCTTGTCGCGAGGGCAGGCTCGTAACAACTAACGATATGGAAACACAAGAACGGCATTCGCCGGTCGAATCCGTTAGTTCATTAGGATCTTCGACTCCGTAGCTAGCAGGAGTCCAATTTTCGACGTTCCCGCTTTGCACCCACGAGTGGCGCGCCATGTATAGAGCAGAAGAGGAGCTGTCTAATTGGACATCGTTTCGCGGAGAGAAAAAGATGGAGGATGACTTCGCAAGATGTTTTGCACGTGTTGCAGCATTGTGATAGTTGCATGGTTGGTAACAAGTCTTTATCGTATGACGACACCTCTTACCTTTAGGCGAGAGGCCTGCCGAAAACTGCCGGACATTTGTTGCCATTTAGTGTCACATTGTGAACATGCTGGCATTGGTTCCTGGCGGCGTGTCGCCAAGGTGTGCAGCACGTGCCGGTGACGGGGAGGAGCTGAAGCAACTGCCGGTGGGGGCCGCAGTGGACGAGTGTAGACAACCCTATCGTGCATCTGTTCGAACATGGGCATCTTGGAACCTCATCCGCAAGACATTCTTATCGATGTCTCAGAGCTGCAACATGGTGTTGACTGTTGCAGTGTGTGCAATGACACCCACCGCCGTGGCGAGTGGTGATACCACGTGATACCCAATCAACCAGTCGTAGAGCCTGATATTTCCGTTGTGGGATGGAGTCGGATTGTTTGGGCTTGGCTGCCGAACGCCGTAGTTTGCCTCTGGCTGCTTGTTCATGGGGGTTGTTGGTGAGGCGATCTGCTGTTCTGCAAGACGGAGAATTGCAATTGTGGTTTTTGAAGGGGGCTTGCCTTGTGACCACCTGCCACCAGCTGAATCCGGACTGATGACACGAGCACCTACGAAGTTGAACACGTGAGTCGTCTCCTATCATCGTGGACAGAGCCGCACGCAAACCAACACAATGCCCTGCGTCACACTTAGGCAGGGGTTCACGTCTCATAACTCATCTTGGAGCCTTGTGGTGGAGCGCACTCTTGTGAGAATTGCGGTCGCTGTGTCTTGCGAGATCGAGGGCACGGGAGGAGTTAGGTGCTAACCCGAAAATGGAGGCGTGCAAGCACGCAGAATTTATGCTTTCCCGCGGCAGGCTGCCCTGGTGCTGCTGCTTGAGATGATCGCGCCATGATCCCGTACCGATTAGTGCTGTGTCTAGCAAGCTTGGAGCTACCCTTTGCCGAAGTAAGCGTCGTAAGCCCAGCATCGAGGCGGGAAGAGTCTGCGCCGTCTGGGGTGCTCAAAGCAGCAATGCAGGCGCAAAGCTGAGCAAAAAACCGCCCCACACCGTGGATGTTGCGCCTTCTGTCTGGGAGGCTCTGGGCCGCACACTGACCGCACTGACGTGAGATGCCCAGAGTTATGGCGAGAGTTTTTGGGGAGAGTTTGCAACCTGAGAGCTGCTCGAGGCCCCATGCGCCCCCTGGACATGTTGCCCAAGTCGATCAGGGAGTTCAGGCGTGCGGTGCAATGTGCAGGAATAACCATATGGGCCGTGAGTAGCCGTCAATAGTGTGGGCCATTTTCCGTCAAGATTTCAAGAGCGTGAAGACCATGCTGAAATATGCCCCTGCACGGTCAGACTCTCATCTCGCAGCTGCGGCGACCTCCAGCAGCCTGGTTTAAGATGGGCGGATGCATCCTGTCCAGCCAGTGAAAGCGCGTCTTCAGGCCTCGGCCCCCTCGGAGAAGAAAGAGGCAAAGCCATCGGCTTGTCCAAAGTGATTTTGTATGCGAATGTCCTGTCTTGATCTGAGCTGTTCTCTGTTGATCAACTCCCCGAAGGACTGGTGGTCCAGTCAGGATGATGGGAAGGATGGCTACGAGTATGACTATGAGCCGGGGCCCTCCAGGAAGTGAGACCACGTGAACTTCTTCGGGACATGGGGTCGAACAACCCTGACCTGTGACTCAGTGCTGATTGCAGTCTATCTTCTTGCAGCCGTGGAAGCTATGCTTTTTGAAGTGCCAGCCTTTAGCCGACACTGGCTCGCAGCGTGATCGATTTTGCTGGCACATCGAGCATCTCCCAGGCAAGCACAGTCAGTCCAGGTAGCTTCACCGGGCTGCCCGAGATCGAGATTTTTTTGGTTCAGTCGGCTTCATATGATGCGAGCGCTTCTCCGGTGGATGTTGTGGATCATCATTCCTCATGGATCAGCCACGCCAGGTTCGTCCCGCCGCAGATATCGCCACACCATGGCCATGGGCACACTTCTTGGCGAGATCCCGACGTCCCATGGCAGCATCCGGAGCAACCCCTCTCTTCAGTCCCTCTCTCTTGGGGGTGATGGATATGTGATGTCAGGCCTGGGTTTTATGTCTGCTGGCAGGTTTAGCAATCAACCCTTGACGGTCACGCAGACAAGTACCAACAGAGTCAGGGCCTTGGCAGTGTTCTCCTGGTGATCAGTCTTTTACCTTCGGGTAGTCTCGCATTCCTGGCACCCGGCAACGGTTGATCGTCGCACCATGCCAAAGCGATAAAAGATGTCTCATCCCAAACACACTCTCCAGCTGTGTCAGGGCTTGGCGTATGGCTCCCTGCCGCTCGCTGCTCCCGTTGCAAGCTCTTCCCCATTCGCTGCCGTGCCGCTCTCGACCTCAAAGCCGGGCTGGGTTGCTGTGGGGGGGTTTTGAATGAGTGTCGCTGGTCTGAGCGAATTTTCAGAATTGCGAAGCTGCGCAGTCTTTACCTCTGTGAGCAGGCCTGGTGTGACGGGGCTGACCTACACGACGACAACCTCAACGCCTCCAGTGTCCTACATGGCCGATGGCCAAGGGTTTGGCAGACGAGAGCCACCCTCAATACAACACGAATTCTTGCAATTGTCAGGGTCCTGGCCCAGGTCCCCAGCCGCACAAACTCGGCATATATTTATGGCCAAGGCCGGCCGAAAGTCAAGCTCGAAGTCCATAGTTCTCAGCTGTTGCAGTAGTAAGGTGCATGGCCTGAGCTGTGTATGCTGTGCCGCGCCTTCTCGGTGAAGGTAATCTCCCGGGTGGCGTCAGCTTGCCTCCCTTCGAGTTCAAGTCGCTCGGCTTTACACAGTCCTCCGAAGAATGCACGAGCCTTCGTGTCCTGGCCATGACGATCCGTCGGCGTGCTTTCTGGCGGATGACAACTAGATCCCGGACAGCAACCAGAAAGTACGTGCGACCAATTCTTTCAACACGCGAGCTCTGCTCCGTGCATGTCGGTTCCCTATGGCTGCAGCCCCTCCCATGCACCCGACGTCCTTGGTCCACTAGCAGTTCCAGATGCAACTGGCACAGCAGCTCTTCTGGAGGGGGACCAGAAAGCAGCAGTCCTTGTCTTGAAACTAAAATGAAAATAGCTCACCATACGATGCCAGGGATCGACTATGCATGAGCTCAGATTGCGTTGCTGTTGAAGGGCAGGTTGCGATTCATGCCATCTGGTTTTACAGTCCAAGCTGCATGGTTTGCTGCGAGAATATCACCAACTGGAGGGCTTTTGTGAACAGGTGCATGTCGTCAGGGCGCCTTAGGCGTTCAGTTTATGGAATATTTTTGTGCGTGTTCATCCAGGTTCGTCAAGGATGACTACTTTGATTCTCCATCGCCGGTGGACTCAACGAGCAACTACCACAAGGAGCCGGAGCAATGGGTTTAGTGGCCGCAGAGATCGGGTGGATGCTGTGTTTGGTTCAGGTCCCGGTTTCACGTACTCGTAGCTGCTATGGGAATGGAAAGTAGCGCTGCATTCTAGTTACGCTGTTCTCGTGCAGGGCTATGACATGCCGGGAGAGTACGCCGATGTCTCAGCCTTCCCTGCGCCGCAGTCGATGGGGGCGCACATGCAGGACCTTGCATGTTGGCTCGTACAATGACCAAGCCTATCGCCGAACAGCGAGTTGAAGATAGTTGAACCGTCAGGAAGCAGATCGCCTGGACAGACAGATCGAAGCCCACGACCAGAAAGTTCGAGAGCTGGCTGCGCAGAACCTCGATGGAGAGTGTTTTGCCGGGGTTGTGCACATCGAGGGTAGGTTTTGTTGCGAGTTCAGTAGTTCGATTGTATTACAGTGTCTTGCATCCGCGTGCTGGGGATTCTTGAGCTGTATGCTGTGACTAGATGTCTATACCAGCGTGCATTCGATTTGCTGGTGCGCAGCTGATGAGGCCTCTCTCCGTGCAGAGCTTGGAAACACAGATCCAGGAGCACGGCAGCTTTGGAGAGCGATCCCCATTCCCAGCTAGGAACTCTTTGCGCGACTTTGCGCACAGGCGTAGCCTAATTTAATTGGGCGAGGGGTGATGCTTGCTTGACGGCTGAAGTACTTTCTTCGCTGCAAACTTCGCCCCCCTGTACTTACAGCTTCACAGGCTGGCAGAGCACCGCTCAGTCTGGAGTAAGTGATGGGGACTGCCAAAGGCTGCCAACGTGGTAGAAGCTGTTTTACTCGCGGCAGGTCAGAGAGAGACTCGAGAGCTTTGCATAGGGCTGCCCAACAAAAGTCAAGTTGCAAATTCCTGACCAGATTGGCACAGGAGCTCTTGGATGGGCAAGAGTCCTTGCGGTACGAGCTGCGGCAGGTGAAGATGCAGGTGGGGGAGTCAGCAGTGCACGAGAGACGGCGGGACTTGCCGGAGTTGCTCCCTTGAGTCCGAATCTGAAACACCGCGTGGGGCCAGAGCCAAACGGCAACGAGGATCTGGCACGGGAATCGAAAGTCGATGGGGTGGTAGCACATGCAGCTTTCTAATCAACATAAACAGCCGCAGGGACGCCAGGTTATCCATGATTCCATGTCCCCAAACTTCGAACTATATCAACTGTGTTCATGGTATAGCCATAGTCTCGGCAAAAGAGCCTTCAAGCTGCAGCTCAGCGAAGTGCGGAGCCCCGAGCGGCCACGGGATGCTCCAATCGTCCGACATCGTTGCCCAAACAATCCACGGTCCAGGCACTTGATTACTGATCCAAGTTGTGATCAGGTGGAGCAGAATGCCTCAGACCTCGAGGTCGGCACTCTGCAGTGGCACCAGGAGCATCACGAGCCTAAACCCACATCTTGCGAGACCATTCGCCGGGAGCGGCACATGCCGCAGTCAGCTGCGGGCTCTATGGTGCAGGCTTGGGATTTCGGCTGGACCCTTTGCTCCGTTTGTGTCCAAGCTTTTGCTCTCAGGCCCATCCCTTGCCAGTGGTGCAGCAGCCTCCGCCACCCATGCCTTCAGCGCAAAAGCCCATGGCACAGCCCATGACGCAGCCAATGACACAGCCGATGACGCAGCCCCAGCCGATCGCGATGCAGACACAGAGGCCGCTCGGGACAGGGTGGGAAATGGGGACGGGGCGTGCTGTGGGTTTAGGAAACGCGTTTCAGTGCAGAGCTGCATGAGGTCGCACCGACTGACCTTGCCGCCGGAGCCGGCCGGCAAATATGATAAGATTGCGGGGGCCTTGGCTTGGCTTTTCATGTTCATTGCTGAGTTTAATGACTCCAGGGCCCAATCCAAGCCGTGGAGGAAAGGAGGAAACCATGACCGAAGGAGTGATGTTCCGAGTAAACCCTAGACTGCAAAAGGAGTGATGGCTAGCCACGGGGCCCATAAGACCGAAAGCAGAGATGTGACTGTAATGATGAGCCCGGCAGGGTGCACCGGCTACTGTGCGAAGTTGACCCAGCAGCACAGACCATGACTCGAACGGCTGCACTCCGTTGCAAAGTTTTGCAGCTTCCCCAGGTGCACAGCAACCTGGGCTACTGCAGCGACACCGGCTTCGATGCATCGGACATGCTGAGCAAGGCTGCATGCTTCCCAAGGTTTCTGGGAACCGGGTGTTTCGGGGTACATGCCCGATGCCCTGCAGGCACACGCCAGGGCAATGGATTCGGCGATGAGCCGCTGAATTGCAAGGGGAAGACATTCGGGGTGATGTGGTGCTAAGAGTCTGCATAAGTGGCCACCATCACGACAGTCTCTGCTAAACCTTGACGCCCCCAGCTTTGGAACATGCCGCAAGAGTTTGTCATGCTAAGAGTTTCTTTCTGCGGAGGCCTGCACCAGACTGTCAAGGGCTACGTCGCTAACTTCCAGGATCGCCGATAAGAGGCCGGGACAAGTTTAACGTGCGGGGCTGCAGGAAGCTGTAGTGTTGGCTGCCGTCACTCAAAAGGCTCGGGGAGAACGCCGCAAGGTTTTGCTTCACTTGCAACGGTAGGCAGTGGTGACAGACCTCGTGTAGTATGTGGCAGGCCAACATCTACAGTGTGTGCAGACATCCGACGGCTTCAAACGAGCCTGGGTGAACTCACACGTCACCATGTGAGTTGCTGGCTCTTGACACGGGCTCTGAGCAGTGCGAACTGCATAGGAAGCTGGGACGTAATAGGACGTGTGACCGACAACACCGGTACTATCTGTACGGCTCAGCTTTCTCAAAATTCAGCGGTCTCTCGGAACGCTGGAAGGAAAGGATCCTAAGGAGCTCTCCGAGCGACAGGGAGTGTTTCAAGCGCTTCAACGGGATTCACCTGTAACCCTGGAGTGGGATTTCTCGCCTTCCAGATCGCTTTTGCATCTGTGGCTTGGTGCGAGTGTGTGAGAAGCGCGACGTAGGATCTGGTGCTTTGTCGCAGGTCGTAGGTGTCTGTCAGGTTTCCAAGCACCTTCTGGGACACAGCAAAGTCGAGCCTTCCAAGGTAAGCTTCAACCCAATCGCACCAAGCTTGGCAAATGTACAACCGTTATCTAAAGGATCGAAGGGTGACAGTCTCCGGAGCTTCGGATCTCCGGAAACATGCCGAACGTTTTCCGTAGGGTGCGAGCTTGGTCTTGCAGCCTCGTTGCGTATTGTTCTTATTATTCCATCTTTCGGAAACATGTACGTTTCTGTGGCAACATGCTAACTTCTATGTGTGGAGCTGCGACACTGCTCGTGTATCATACAGCAGACTGCCTCCGTCGGTGTTGAGTTCCGATGAACCACGCTGAAGATACTAATGTTTTTGGCGAATGTGTGACGTGTCATCCTAGTGTGCCGAACGGGGCAGTGCAGGCAGCATCACTTCCCTTCACACTTGAAGCTTTGGGCGTGGCATCCCAAAGGTCATTGCACGAACTGCAGCTCTTTCTTCATGTACTTTAAACAATCGAAGCGTTTCACAAAAATGTTCCAGACGCACCGACGTGCTTTTTCAATAGGTCCAACCAGGTGTGACCAAGACGAGCCTTTTTGTAGGTGCTTGGGGAAGCCATGTCCTACATGTAGTAGCTGTGAAGGTGGGCCCTGAGGGCAATGCTTTTTGCCTGGCAGAGAGTCCCCTGTCTGAGCCGCGAAGTCCACAGCAAATGAACAGTTCCAAATTGCAAGTCATCGCGTGACCGCTGAACGAGAGAGGGGGCAGAACGCTTTGGCAGTAGGTAAAAGACAAGGACAGGAAAGGCTTTCGGCCGAAGGCTAACGCGCCTCGAGCTTGTTTCACGGAAACAGGGGCAGTGAGTTGCGATCATCTCGTGTCGTCGTGTTGTTACAGGGGTGCATAAACAATGAGTCATTGAGAACCAAAAGGTCCTCGCCATCTTCGGGCGCAGCGCAGGCAGCTGCCGAGGCGGAACAGGGCCCACAGCGTCGCTTCGTCGCAGGGCTCTCGCACTCTGAGGCGATCGGCCGCATCGCGCTCACCACCGCGGAATGGAGACCCGTGCTCCATGGCTACGCCATGGAGGCTCCGCACTTGGGCAAGCTTTCCTCAAACTCACTGCCTCTCAGATCGGCGCTGATGTCGGACTGTAGTGAAACCAACTGTGCCGCGACCAAGGCGATAGTCGCGTGGATTCGATCTGGCACAGCTGGACGGAAGTTCAACAAGGACACTGCGGTGGAAAGGTGCTTCGTGCTGACCTTCCTGTGAACTGTCCTTCTTTCATTCAGTATCTGTTCTGGGCGGCAGCTGCGCTGTCGGGGATGCCGTTTGTAGACCCTCAGCGGCAGATTCGATGTCGTTCTTGTAAAGATTCATGCCTGGCAGCTGTGTGCGCCCTTTGGGAGTTGTTTGGCAAGCCGAGTGCATGCTGCCTTCAAGTCCTTTCGTGGAGAATGCGAGTTATCAAGCTCAGGCCGCCGAACTCAAGCTGCACATCAACTGCATCTCAGCTGCGCGACCGGCCTGTTTCTCAGCTCTAGAGCCCTTGCCTGCCGTGGGGCTTGGCAGGTGGATGCGGCTCTGTGCACGGTTATTGACATCCTGGACGAAGATATCGATGGCACACTGCTCGCATTAGCCGGTGCCAGCGCGTGTGTAGCTGCTAGCCCCGAGACAGCTGAAGCGCCTCGCGTGCTTGCACATGACGACCCTGGAAAGAAAGTCCGTGATGTGCAGGGGAGTACACCTTGGCTGGTACCGATCGCGGGGAGGCGCTGGCCTGGGGTCGCAACTGTCGCACCCTTGGGATCTTGCCACCTTCCCGAAAGACTTGGGGCTGCCGCAGGCTGAGATGCCCGCCCTCGTGGCCCTGATCGTGGAGGCGATGCGGCTCCATCCTGCAGCTCCCGAGGCCCTGCGGCCTGCAAGGCACTACCTTAACCAATTCTGATCGATGCCAGGTTCAAGCCAGGGGGGCCACTTGCATCAGCTTCTTGGTGCCCTTTGTAGAGTATGCACGGGCCCACAGCGTCCGTTGCTTGCTAGATAAACTCATATCTAGGATGGAGGGAGTGAGTCGCTTGGTTTTGCTCCTGTGACTATGCTGGAACACCAGGGCTGCACAGTGGGCTCAAGGAAACGTCACGGCGGTGGCTGGTCCAACAGGGAGAACTTTTGAAGAAGTGACACAACGGAAATCAAACGGAAATCAACTGCTTTCTCAGACGATACTGGATCAACAATCATCCTGCTCTGCTCTTTCAGATGTCGTGCAACATGCCAGATGGTAACTTCGAGTTTGGAATCTCGATCCGCAACGCCAGGACATCAGTAGAGATGCAAGACCATTTGCATGTGCTTGTTCTAAGGCAATCCGAGACATGTCCGCAAATGCTTGCCGACTTGTATGTGTAAGCAAGTGGCACAGCACAATAGCGAAGGCGCTCACAGTTGCTCACCTTTTCCGGAATGGAGTGCTTTGCAAAAGCGCGGCCTCCCCCAGGCCTCGCTGCAAGCGGTGGCGCCGGCGGCCATTGTCGGTGTGCGGTGCCCAGCTGGGTTGAGCTAGGCCTCGACGCCTCCCTGTCTCCCCTAAACCCAGGCCCAGTTCGGACTCGGACTCATTCTTTTGGGCCTTAGCTGTGCAATCTGCTTCTTGCTGCATTAGTTGAATTCTGCACACGACGGACAAGACATCCGAATTCGCCCCACAAGTTGAAATCAAGCTCTTGATGCAGTAGAATTTGTAAGGCATACCGGAGCGTTTTCTCAGTGGACATCAGTGGGTTGACTCTGGTGGTTCGTAGCTTCGGCTGGCATGGTCGTTATATGGTTGACTGCCTTGGCATTTCAATGTCTCTTCTGCCGAAGAAAACATACCAGGATGCATCTAGTCTCAAAGCAAAGTAGGGCAGGATATGTACCCCTTGGTGGCCAAGGTTTAGGTCTCGTGACGCCCGCTTACGTAGACTCAACCCTGCTGTTCACCCCAACCCGCTTCAGAGCTGTGGAAATCGAAGCTACCATATTTTCTCACAGCCCTATCAGGGGTCTGAGGTGCTTACTGGATCGCGGCGGTTCCCACGGAGGACTGAGTTCGTTTCCGAACCCACTCACTTCGTGGCTGAGTTTCTGTTCGGGAACCAGCACTGTGTTGTGTCATAGAGGTCGCTGCCTCATGTCCGGAGAAGTGATAGATTTTGTCTTTAGCGAATTTGAAGTCTGTCTGCTTTGGCACGAAGGATGGATGTGATCAGTGGGGCAGTGGCTGCACTGAGAGCCTTCTGCGACCTCGCCAGGTTGGGAGTCTATTGTTTCTTCTGTCTATATATATATATATATTTGCGTATGTATATAAATATAAATCAACAAGCAAATAAATGAACAAATCAATATGAATATAAATATAGATACAAATATACATGACTATAAAACAACGAAGAAGTAAGTAAATAAATAGATAGATAAGTACATAAATAAACACAATAAATAGATAACTATATTATTATATAAATATGTAAATATGTACATATACATACACACACACATATATATATATGTGTGTGTGTGTATGTATGCATGTCTGTATGTATGTATGTATGTATGTATGTATGTATGTATGTATGTATACAATGTATACATACATGCATACATAGATACATACACACATACATAGATATTAGATACTCAATTATGACTGGAAATCTAATAGAATGATAGCGTCCTGGTTTCGTTCCTATTTTGTTTCATTTCGTTAGCCTTGTTTCGTGCTTCCTTTCACCCATTACAAACAAGGCAACGAAAGGAACCAAAATACTCTCTTCATATTATTAGATAGATAGATAGATAGATAGATAGATAGATAGATAGATAGATAAAAAAGAATGATAGATAGATAGATAGATAGATAGATAGGCAGATGGATAGATAGATAGATAGATAGATAGATAGATACATAGATACATACATACACACAAATTATTATTCATATATATATATATATGCCTCGCTCTCTCGCTCTCCCGTATTCTCTGATTCTTACGGATCGTAGTCATGTTACTGGTACCACTGGCCCTCGTTGCTTGATCGATATCATCACCATCCTGCTCTTTGCTCATGATGATCGTGGTACATATCATGATGTGACCATGGCCATGACCGAGAGTGATACTGTTCGTCGTTGCAATCACGGCGGCCACAGTGGAATGTTGTCTGAGTTTTCGCCTTGAGGGTGGAGGTCGTGAGATCGAGAGGTTTGTCCCAGCCGATTTTGCAAAACGGGAAGAGGCTTCATCGGTGTGTCAGGTGCAAAAAGCGCCCGGACGCGAAGGGGGCAGAGGCATCTCGGCAATGAAGTGGATCAGAGTCTGGGTCCATGCAGAGATACTGGGCACTTTTGAGGTCATCGTGGCTTCACTGCAGCGAGAGGGCGCGGTGGACTGCATAGAGCAGGCTTGTCGCTTCGAATTTGCCTCCGATTCATCTGCTGTGGTTGGTAGCCCAACTTTCCAGTCACAGGCCTTCGGCTACTTCTCTCACTACGAAGATGCGATGCAGATGCTAGAGGCCGTGCATCTAGCATGGGGCTTTGGGCCCCACTCGCCCGCTCCGCTGGCCGCTGACCCCCGGCAACTTCGAAGGATGCTGCCGCGGTCTCCGCGCAGATCTCTGGGGTGGAGGCCACTGCAGACAGCAAAGATTTCTGTAGATGCTCTCAAAAGCTTGAAAAGCCTGAGGCTTTGTTGAAACGCCTGGGAGAGGACACGGATTCTAGCTGCATTGCTGAAGGCTAAGTGTCCACCCTCTGGTTCGGGTTTGAGGAACCGGCAACGTCCCACCTCCGCATGGCCGGACTCAAGGCCATCTTCGAGGTGGCGTCTCAGTTTTTTTTTGTGTTCACCCCAATGTCCCCTGGTGTGGTTCTGATGCAATTTCAGGAAGGCCGTGCGGACCTCGACTTCCTTTCGGCACGTGCCTGCGCAGCTGCTGTGGAGGACCTGAGAGAAACACAAGAAATCCCCGGGCCCGTCCCCGTCCCGACGGTGTGCGTATTGAGCAGTGCACAGACAGATACAGTTTTCTGTCGGGCGAGAGGCTTGCGAACGCATGATGCTGGAGGCCCTCATCGCTTGGGTGTCCCGATTCAGTCTTCCCTTCATCCGACGTGTGAGCGGTCGCAGGCCTCACAATACAACGAGTCCGAGAAGGATCGCCTACGCGAGCAGAAGATAGCACGTATAGCTTTGCAAGGACCATCACTATGTCACTCTCTCTCGGAACTGTGCTGGGCAGGAGCCCTCTGACCCTCCTATCGACACGCAGCGATTGCATGAGGCTGGATTTCACCCAGTCTCATCGGTGCCAAATCCTGCCTGACATCACTTGTCTCCAGGTTGCCTCCCTGCTCTCTGGCCTGTGCGCAGGCATCAGTCTAGCAGCTGTGAAATTGCACATGGCAACAAGAGAGACGATGTCGGCATCCACAGACGCATGGGTGAACTTTACCGGGCATTGCCAGGACGGTTGCGGGCTGCTTGCCTCGCGTGAGATGTTGACTGAAGCCTGGCACCCCTGGAGATCTGAAGGATGTCCATGACATCTGGGCAAATTATCCTCAGGGTAGCGTCTACCACTCGTCGAAAGTTGCAGCCAGAATTTTAAGCTTCCTGCAACTGGCAGCGGCTTCACAGGCCCGCAGCTTGTGCCCCAACTATCCATCAGAACAGATCATGGCGAAGTGAGCTTTCAAGAAAACACGGCAAGCGCCGCCGGGAGCAGAGCGTGCTTGGACAGCGCCTTCTTCGCGAAGACATCGAGCTCGGGAGGCAAAATGTAGCTTCTGTAACACGTTTGTGACCTGCGCATGCAGAACCCATGCTGGCTCATGAAGTGTGCCGACACTGTTTGCTTCGGTCCAAGATATGCGGCGGGAGGTCGATTTCAGCGGGGTGAATTTTACATAAGGTAGACGAACGAATTCTTAGCATTCGCACGATACTATAGGACTTTAGGCTTTAGTTTTTGGCTTATGCCAGCAGGATGGAGGAAGAGGAGGACGAGGCAATTCGAAAACGAGCAGCTCTAAACAGAGTCCCATGACAGAGCTCAGCCTGGTAGCCCAGCAACCCGAACCCGAACTCCACCAGGCGGCCACGCGAGTGGCAGCTCTCGAGGCAGAGCTTCAGGAGCTCTGCGCCGCAGCACGGGCGCCGGCACAGAGGTCCTGTGGCTGTTGCCCAGCTTGGGTTTTTCCTGACCTGAAGGGGAAAAAAATTGTGCCAGATAGAGAAGCCCGCCGCCAGGCTGTCTTACTCGTACGGAAATATTCCAAGAAAGAAGCCTTAAAACCGAGCGATAAAGTTCCCTTGCCATGTTTGCTTCAAGTCTCTTGCAGTCCTGGCTTGAGGGTGTACCATGCTCTTTGTAGCCATGTGCAGGAACTGGCTACGCTTTGCGCGGGAGGCAGGACTTAGATGTTGCCTGTAGTCGTCAGTCCTTTGATGTGCCAGGGGGGTTCCATCTCATCCCTTCTGGAGGCCCTCCGCAAGCTTGGCCCTCCTCGTCGCTTTGCGGCGCTCAGATGCGCGCTGCGGGCTCAGAAGCTCGTCGGGGCGGGGGATGTGAAAGGGAAGTCGCGGAGTGAACGCTTTCGTGTCGAACGTGCAGTCGCTGAGGCTTCAAGACAGGCAGGCGAGCCTGAGGTTGGGATGGGACCTTGCTGCTGAACGACGAACTTAAGATTGCTCTCTCGAGCAGGCAGCAGCGGCAAATACTAGAGAAAAGGCTGGAGGATTGCTTTGCACAGCGCGACACAAGTGGGAAAGCCCCAATTTCATTCTCGTGCCCTCAGGAGAACGGACTGCCACCACTCGGCGAGGGTGAGGAGTTCCTGCAAGAACTCCAGGCAGGTTTCCTGGGGATGACCCCTTCAAAGGCCAACTGACGAACTGGTGCACCTTGAGCTTTGACTCGTGATCCTCCCCAAAGCAAATCATGGAGCTTCGCTTGCAAGGTTCTCTACTAGGCCGGGCGCAGAGCTTGAAAACTTCACGTTCATCAAGCTTCCAGGCAGAGTTACAAGACCTCCAGCTGGGCGGAAGACAGTGGGCTGGCCGTTGCTTGGTGTCACGTGTGCTGTTGTGCGCCGGGATCCGCGAGTATCTGAAAGTTACGGTTGGCCAAACACGAGCGACCTCTACCAGGTCCTGTCCAGTTCCTTGCGCCAGGTGGCGCCATCGACTTCAAGAGACCGCTACGAAGTTAGGCGATCGAGGTTCGGGCCGGACGGTTTCACTTCTGGCCCATTCGAAGCTGGAGCTTTTTCGGAGGACGGCGCCTTTCATTTGCGCAGCAGCTCTGTCCCGCGGAGCGCGAGCTCCTCCGGCTACAGGTGCAGAGATGTGTGTTGTGCAATGTTCAGGGCTTGCATCGTGCATTCGATGCAGGCAGAGCTGCAGCATGCGCAGGGCACCGCCCAGGCCAGCGGGGTGACAGGGGCGCGCCGGTGTTCGCGTTGCTTTCGTGTCATCGTGCGCAGCAGAGGAGACTCAGGAGGCGGAGCTGCAGCAGCTCCGCGAGGAGGTGTGGTGTTTCCGCTGATGGGAAGAGAGCCGAGCCCAGCGGTCTTACAGGTCGCAGCTTTGGAGAAGGCGGAAGAGGAGAGCTTCTTAGGTAAAAAGAGTCTCCGGGAGACCTTGTTTTGTGCCAGGAAGCTAAGGCGGCAGCATCGCTGGGGTCTGAGGGCAACCGTCTTGGCCCAGCCTTTGACAAGCATCAGAGACGAAGGCTGCCCGCCTCGGCACCCGGAAACTCTGCCTCCGCTGCCGCTGCCGCCTCGGCGCCCTCCGTGCCCTCGGACTCGACGCCCTCCACGGCGCGCTCCGCCGTTGCCGCCGTGGCCTCTCTGCGCGGGGCCCCACCGCCGCCGCCCCCCAAGGCAAGGCACACTGGTTGATGCATTCAGATGCTGCCATCAGTCAGTGGCACGGTGTCCCCTGCCAGCAGAACCGAAGAGATCGGTGGCATGCAGAAATGAGCTGCAATGTGCAGCATGTGCAGCACAGTGCAATGCAAGTCGGAAACACGACAGGTTTTAGGGTGATTTTAGGAATGCCGCCAGTGCCTGTTCCAGCCATGGGTCTGCAGCATCTGGCGGCGGTTGCGCGAAGAACCTGCTGGAAGCAGGCCAAGCCAGCGAGCTTCAAATCTGCAGCCCACAGCATTGGGGGCGTAGACTTGATACTTCTTCAAGGCCAAGCAGCTGGCCCATGCATGCGAACGAGGACTCTTGGCCAAGATGGCTTGCCATGGAGATGCAAGGGGCAGTAGATCCGATCTGAAATCCACTTCAGGCAACAGCAGCTTTGACGCAAGAGCGACAAGCTGGGACACCCCCGAGAAGCTGCAGCGAGTGGCACCGCGGCTTCAAAGATGGCTCTGTCGGGCTGAGAGAGAGGACGAGGGGCTCTCAGGCTCAGGAAAGGCATCACGCGCTTTAGTGACTTTAGTGCACCCCCCAGAAGACCAACTGGCAGCGAGATGGGCTCTTAGGCTTGGGTGGGAGATCAGATCCGCCGACGTCCTTGGTTCCGAAAGGGACACGAGGCCGGCTTCAGGGCGGACCGCGGCAACAAGTGCTTCGTTCGGAATCAGAGATTCACTGGGCCCGTGGTGCCTCCTTGAAGTCTGTTCGGAGGCCATGGGCAAGTGCCTTGATTTCGGGTCTGGCACAGGCCCGGAGTCGCCCCCGTGCATTCCGCAGACTGACATTTTGTGTTGCTAGAAGCGAGGACTGCTGTCCTTTGAGCTGAAAGAGAGCTGGAGTCACGTCACGGGACTGGTGGCCTGGCAGCAGCCAGCAGCCGTATGTTCGGTCTTCCGCCAATCCACCCCTCCTGTTCAGGATGCATCCTCGGGCATGCTCAAGGTCATGCAGGACAAATGCAGCGACTCCGGGCTTCGCACCTCTGGTCCTTGTCGTCGTTGTCAGGAGAAGATTGAGATAGCTGGCCTGAGCTCCAAGATGGTTGCGACTGAGGGGCCCCTGAACGTCTTGGGAAGCTTCGACACGATCGTGAGCACCTTGTAAGCAAGCAGCGCCACAACAGCAGTAGCCTAGACCTCGCCAGGACGGCTGCATACCCTGCCATTCCCGTTAACTTGTCTGCCAAGGCCTGCTCTGCATCCATCACATCCGCGACTGTGAAACTCAGCTCCGCGAGCTGGCAACACATCTCTCGCCCTACGCCTGCAAGCAGTTCCTGAAGCGGAAAGCGAGAAGCCAGTGAAACAAACCTCCGTGTCCGTGGCTAGGCACCGTAGGCCCCCTAGCATGAGATTCGATTGTTCCAAGACCCAGTGGCCGGCTTGTCGTCATCGATTTTGAGGCCGATCAAGACAAAACAGGTCCGGAGTGCAGTGGCCACTGCTTAACCTTGCCTCAGCTGAGAGGCGAATGCACGCCTCTTCCACAAGAGGTCGGAAACGAGAGGCGATCACTACGAGCACGACGGTGGCTTGTCGCCATTGCATTTACGTCGAAGAGGGCGGACGGGGAAGACCATGTAACCTGACCATCGGGAAGGGATGCAGCCAAGGTCTGGAAGCGGATGCGCTGCACGGGTGGCTCACTTCGGCAGGACTGCAGAACGTAGAGGCAGCAACGGCATCCTGTTGCACGCTAACGTGTTTAGATATTTTTGGACGATTAATCGTTTCTGACCATTCCATGCACTGATGGAAGGTTCACCGAGCGCCCTTCGAGAAAGCTCGGGCAGAAGGTGCACTTAGCCCAGACAGGGAAGTGAGATGTGTGGATTCATGCATCCTCGCTCACGTACATGCTGATTTTCCGGTTGGGCAGGTTGGGAAGATGCCGGGCGCAAGGAGACCTTCCAGATGTTGATCGCCTCGGGATCGCGAGAGAGATAGCACGGATCAAAACTGCTCGCTGTTGTCGGTACTCGTACGAAGTATGCAGGTTTGCTGTTTGCTGTTGCCTGCGCTTCGCACACGTCCGTCCAAGCCGGATAGAATGAAGCGGAATCGAAGCCTGACAGGCAAAAGCCAGGGGTCCGCCACCCCCCAAGGCCAAGGCCAACGCCGCTGATTGAACACAGCATGGACTCCGGGGAGAGGGGCTTTTTCTCATTCCCACAGAGGCGCCAGCACCGGGTCCGGTGCCAAAGTTCGGGGCGCTGCCGCCCAGGCCACGGATTTTTCGAAAAACTGGGAAATTTGGCGCCGCTCTCCTGCAGGAGCAACGGGTTGGTGAACATCAACTGGAAAAAGCTTGCGACCCCGCCGTGGATTAGAAATTGCTTATGATCGGTTCTAATGGGGTGTTGAGGCAATCCTGTACTAGAGGAGCACAGATGGTCGGAGCTTTTTTGTCACTGCGCCATGGGTTTGCAGTCGGCACTTACGGACGCCGACTACGAGCTCAATTCGGACACCTTCCTGAGTGCGGCTCCTGGCAGGGCTCAAGAGAACAGTTCTAAGGTTCAGGGATGCCACTTGACAGTCTGAAGTGATTTCTTACTCCTGAAACTGTGCAAGAGGCGCCATTGCGCCGGCTAGCATGCCCGAGCTGCCACCGCTTCGACCAGGGTCTGCATTCGAAGGCCCGCTCTCACTGGTGCATGAAATGCAAGAGGTGCACACAGCTTAACACATACAACTGTATACATAGGTATACACAAGTGTAAACAAACAAATGTAGAAATTCAAGAAAGTGTAAAATCAAAGTACAGAAACAGCAAAAACAATAAGTACATGCAATAAATAAGCAAATATGTGTGTGTATGTATGTATGTATACGTAAATAAATAAACAAATAAATAAATAAATATATATATATATGTTTATGTATATGTAAATGTATTTTACTGTTTTCTGTATACCATTGACCTCCATCTCTTTGTGAGTGCGGGTAGATGCTACGCTACAATTGAGGAAGTGTGGCGGGAAACAGGACGCCATCTCGTGTGGCGGAAAGTGAACGAAAGACGATGCGCACTCCAAAATGTGCCCGCTTCTGTGGCGGGCGCACGGCTTCGAATTTGTTCGAACATCTCCGAACCAAATTTCAAGATCCTGTCCTAGGCACCGCGGCCCTGCCAGAATTTTTGCGACCTCAAGCGACTTGCAGTGCAAAATGCGCGCCAAACTGTGGCGGAGCAGGGTATCCACCCAAATACACTCCAAAAAGACGCAGCTGGCGCCGATTCGCCAATTGCGCAATCGCGATGTGAAAGTCGCAGCCTGTGATAACCCACCCCATGGTGTTACTACACTTTGCCGGAGTATGATCGTATCCTTCTTATTTTATGTGTTTTTTTGTCAATTGCGTACCACATAAGTTTGCCAGTGGATATATGTAGCAAGATAGTTTCATCGGACTCTTCCACATTGTATATATGTATATACATACATACCTACATACATATATATATATGTATGTATATGTATATGTCTATGTTTCTATATTGGAATGTTGTACTGAATGGGTATGTAGCAAACGATACATACTTCAATGCTATGTTGTCGCGTATTGTACATTGTCCCATGTTTTGTTTGTTCGGTGTCACTCTACGAACGAACAGCTGAAACCGTTGCTGGTGTTTAGTGCGCACAAGGATGCAAGCACACACGCACGCGTGGTTCTGTGCCGCAGAGTGCTGGCCCCGTCCTCGGAGCCAAGGCACCGACGTGGAGTGCATGGACGATGCCCAGGTGCAGTACTGGTTCCGGGCCCGTGAGGCTCTGAGAAAATCCGGCCATCTGCACCAGGGTACATAAGCCGAGTGCAGACGCAATTGAGCCATAGAACTCATTGGTATTCCGGACACCGATTTGCGCTGCACCGTCAGCAGGTGGTTTTCATGCATGCTTTTTCGGTGCTCTTGGGCTGTCAGGGCCCCACCCCAGCCAGCGGCCACTCCGCTCGACCCCCAGCAGCAGCTCGAGCCCGATCCTAAGTTTACAGGGAGCATGCTGCAATGGAATGCTCGGATTCATTTGTATGGCTGAATATCGATCTGCCGTTTACCGCCTACGGTTTCCGATCCATCTCGATAGCAGCTGCAGCAGCACAGACTTGTTCTCGGTGTAAGACGGCCGAGGTGTGCGATCCGTCTCCACAGAAGGGCAGACCACCTCCAGCGTTTCATCCACAGGCTCGGATGCAATGAAGCTTTAGAGGCGTGCGTGGAGGTGGACCCCGATCGAATTGGTTTGAGCGTTCCAGAGATCCAAGCTAGGGGCACACAGCTCATTTGCATGTTCAGGGCCTGGCAGGACGCCAGCTGTGCCAGGCAGCCGGAATGAAGAGTCATGAGTCAGGCAGGAGTGTTCTGTACGAGATCCTAGAGTGCTGAACTTTCCAGGCCTTCCCAAGCAGAAGCTTCTGATTCTCGACGAAAGGACGACAAGGATGCTGATTCTTGGCCACGCCTCCAGCCCGTCCAATCCGTTGTTCCCGAAAAGGAGTGCTGGGCTGTTCCTCGCTCGGCAGCGCATCCAAACTCGGAGCAGCCAGGGGCAGTCAATGACGCCGGAGGCGAAGAGCTAACAGTTTGCAGACAGCCAGACCTGGAGATCATGCATCAATCGAAGGACATTTGCAAAAGCATCCTCCAGTGCACTGTCAGCCAGGACTTCTGAACCGACTTGCCAGTCTTTGCTTAGAGTCGTTCCGCGCCATTGCGCGAGCCTGTCAGCCCCGCCACTAGCCTCCAGTGAGTTCTGCTAGGACGAGGATGGTTTGCAAAGTTTACTTGATGCCGTCGAGAGCAACTTCGAGGTGCTGCCTGGATACACCCTTCTCCCTGTAGCCGCAGGACTGCGCAAGCAAACCACAAAACCAGTTTCTATTTATCAACTCTTGATCGCTCGTACTAGTACCCTACAGACAAGCGTCCGTTTGGCGAGGCCGGCAATCCTGTGGCATCCTTCGTCGAGGCAGGAGTTTGCCCTTTGCACCTATGGCCCACAAGAGCTGAGCAGATCTCCTGGCAACTTCGTTGCGAGGCTGAGGGCGTAGATGCCCTGTCGCGCTGCGAGGCTGAGCAAGAGCATCGCCTCATGCACCAGGCGGGCACTGGCTCAATCAGTGTGGGATAGCATTTGTCAAAATAAAGACGGAGCAAAATAAGCCAACCATGCCTTGTTGGAGAGGTAAAGCCTAGAATCCCTAGAACCGCTACAGCAGTCTTCAGAGAAGCGCATCTTGTCTCAAAGAGTACACGATGAGGGGCACTTCCATGCAGTTTCAGCTGCGACGGGAAGCATAGGGGTTTGGCAGGTTGGAAATTTTCAGCATTCTCCTCCCTCACTGACAGGTCTGCGGCATTGCAGGCGTAAGCCAGCGATTGAGATGCTATGGGCTTACAGTGGTCGAACTACTTTGAAGTCGATCTTCGCTCACTTCCTGCAGACTCTCAATTGGATCATGCAGCATATCCAGCAGGTCAGAGCGTGCGTCCTGTTGCCGCTTCTGTCAGCGAGGTCTTCAGATCGAGTCATCTTGGGATCGCGACGCTGCGAAGTGTCAGAAACATCTGGAGGCCACGAGGCAAGCGATGATATCTCACCTCCGGAAGCTTCTGAAACCGCCAGGTCCTGCAATCTGGACTCGAGGCCGTTTTGCCGACTGCCGATCGCTCTCGAAGCTCAGTGCCCAAGCACTTTGCCTCGAAGGCCCTGAGCACAAGGAAGGAGGCACTCCAGTCCTTCTTCCGTCAGGCCGTTGGCATATTTTCAGTTGATGACAGGTGTGACCTTCTACCTGTGGGGGGGAATGGATTGTAGCGGAGCATGCGCCAGGTCATGAAGATTGGCAATCAGCTAAATGAGGCGTGCGGTTGTGTGTGAAAGTTGACATGCTGGCTGGATTTGCCCTGCTCTACCGCTGCTACCGCTAGAACATCACTGGCCGCGTTCCAGGCCGCTGGAGGAGTACGCGCTTCTCATGGCTTTCGCCTACAGAGTCTCGATTCTACGCTGCAGACGAGGCCATCGCCGAGACATGAAGCTTTCCAAGAGAGGTGACTGTGGTGATCGGCTTAACCTTGTGCAGGTCGCCATTGCGACCTCAGCTCTCCCTTCTACACCTCGCGCTGGCACAGATGCCCTTGAGACAGGCCAGGCTGCTGCGGTTTGTGCTGGGGTAGTTGGAGTATGTTGGAGTAGCCCTTAGAGCCCTTATATCCCTTATCATGACCACCGGAAAATTTCACCGAAAGCGGGAACCCCGACCGCAGGTCAATTCATTGTGCGAGGGCCTGCGGGCCACTGATGCATTGAGAGCACAAGGACTGCTTGGTCTGGGTCTTAGACAACCTCAGCTCGAAACAGGAAAGGCCAGGCGAAGGATCCCTAGAAAACAGAATCACAGGCAATGAACAGCAAGAAATGCGAAGGAAAGTCACCAGTTGGGGCACTGTTTGCAATTGTTTGGTCAAACCAGAACCTCTGTTCCTCCCAGAACATTCACGCATCTAAGGCAAGAGCGCTGGGGTTCAGGAGCGGTGCCGGGAACTTATCGCCCAGCGGGCTGCGCTTCGCGAGCTCGGTGTGCAGGCGCGGCGGGTTCCAACGTGTCATCTTGTCCGCTTCCTTAGAGAGTATAGTGACTATATATAGTGACACATAACTCCCTCTTCACAGTCTCAGCGTCATGAGCATACTGGGGTACTGCCGAGTCCGTCTGGCAGGTGCCCAGCGCTCTCTCTGAGGACACTCCGCCTGCGTAAATCAACTTGATGTTGTCTTGTCGGCCATGAAGTTCCGCCATTCGCGTGCAGGACGACGTCTTCCAGGACATGCCGTTTCATTCTACCTGTAGCTAGTTCAGTGGGATGTCTCCCGGCCATGTCTATCTGTGCCCTCGACTGCAGGTCTCTCACTAACTCTCTCCTCAAGCCGTGTTGCGCAGTACGGTTCCTGCTCGAACATGTCATGGGGTTTGGAGATGACACCTTGACCAGGAGCACTTGAAAGAGTTCCTGGACAGCCGTCGGGACAAGGCGCACAATGTACTTCAGCACACATTGCTGCAACAGCCTAAGGGCCGCCCCTTCTCCGTCCGTGTTACTTGCTCTCTGTTCGTGCAGGCCTCTCGCTTGGCGGAGCTGTGTTTGGAAGTCTTCCGAAGCTACTGGGCATACGGCTTAGCTTTCGAGGCAAAGCCCAACATTGGTGGCAACGGAACGATCATCAGAGCAGCGATGATTTTCGGGTCGCTGCAAGGAGCTTGCAGTCTTTCTCGGCGATCCAGCCCCGCGCTTGGATTCGGCTGGCCCTCCTCTGTAGCTCATGCCGTGGCGATGCCAGGATGCCGTGTTCCCACCACCTTCGAAGGACTCTGATGAATCACAGGACCTTTGGGTGCTCCCAAAGACCAAAGCGTGTGCCACCTGTCCACACTGCATATGGTCACGCGGTCATGTTTCTCCGAAAATAGAGACGAGAGGACATCTTCCTGTTCTTCCACGGCTTTATCGAGGCCTGCATGGCATGCAGTTGTACCCGCCATCCACCATCCTCACGGACAACAGGCGGTCCCACCAATTGTCCTTGAAGCAGCACAATCAGAAGCAAAGCTTTGACGAGGGAGACCATGGAACAATCACACCATCCAGCCTTCGACCATGTTCTGAGTCACATTTAGCTCCTTTCCGCTCCTGTGGTCCAGCCCCCACTCGGCACGAAACAGCGGGACAGCCGCAGGTGCTGGAGCGGGCCCGCGTGGAGATCGCAAGGATGCGGCTGCGCGAGGCAAAGGGCAAAGGGCTGCTAGCAGCCTGCTTTCATCCCAAGATCCTGCATCCTGCTCTCCTGCACCGCGTGTGAGGAGATCGAGGCTTCTCATGAGGGTGGACAGGAGGCACGCCGGGCGCACACAGGGGGAAGTTCTCGCCTGAAGTGCTGAGGCCGCGGCGCGAGTGGTGGAGAAGGCAGCGCTCGAGCGGCTTGGCGGAAAGAACCCGCTAAAACCGGGTGGGCCCCGGTGGCCCGTGGGGCCATGGCCCGAGCTTGAGCCGAGGTCTGGGCTGCCAGCGAGTCAGCCGTCTCAGCCTGCGTGTGCCGAGCAGCCCGCAGCTAATCCGCACCTTCACGCAAGACGCATGAGGCATGGTGCGGCGAACGCTGCCCTTGCCCGAGCGGGAGACCAAAGCGGATGTGGGATGCCAAGGAATTCCAGGAAAGTGAAAGTTTTGTAAATCCTGTCCTTGTCCTGCATTAGTTGTTGCGTCCGAGATTGCATGGCAGATATCCCACGTCCCCTGCAAGTGCCGGGATCAAAGCGTGTTTCACGTGTGCTCCTGCCGAGTCCGTGTTAATGACTCCTCCAACATCGCCCTCCCGCGTTGGACCCTCAGAGAGTTAGCGTGTTCTCCAGGGAGTGAAGGGCCGAATTCGGAGTATCACGTGCCCTCAGTCTCCGTTGATCCAGGGAGTGAGACATGTCGCCTCGCCATGCAGAGCGCTGAAGGCCGGGGCAGTGTCAGGAAAACTAACCGGAAATTTTGAACTTCTGAACGTTGCGCAGCAGGAAGCTTGCAGTGTTTTTTGCGGACCTTGCTTCTGAATAAGCCATGTCAGGGTGTGTCGCCCAAAACGGCTTCTGCCCGAGCGGTACACAGGTGGGCTACCTTAGTTTGCTTTCGCGTCACGTGGCATCCCCTCCTCGCAGTATCTGACTATGTACTTTCCTCTTATGTCCCGGAATTTCTTTCCTGCGAGGCTGAAGAAGCTGAGCTGCAGTCCGGAGGCGCCTGAGCTTGAGCTGAGTTTTCTTGCCCGGAGAGTTTTAGAGTCCAGGCAGACGCGCAGTCTGACGTGTCGGACTGGGAGCCGTGGGCTTAAAGAACTGGGCCTCGGCCTCGGCTTCCCTCAAAAGGGCCCTCATTAGACCGAGGCCGTCCCCAAACGAGAAGCCGAAGCCGGAGCCGGAGCCGAGCCAAGGCCGCACGCGTCGATTCTTCGTGGGCGCTTTCTGCTAATGGTAGTCTTTCCTCTTTTTTGTACAGGCGTTTGTGTGGTGCCGAGACGGCGGCGGGTGCTCCCCGAGCGGCCGCTGCGCAGACCCGAGAGCAAGCAGTACTTGTAACTCCCGTCGACACCAAGCTGCCGGTTTCTCTGAACCTTGCATACATTTTTCTTTTCTCAGGCCTTCAACACCTTCTTCCAGCTCACGTGCTTCCCACGCCTCCCCATCGGCGAGTTCGCGGGTCTCGAGCCCTCGGGTGGATGCGCCTTGTCGAGCTGATTTGGAGTGGTCCAGGGTGCTCTCGGAAGTTTAAGCGGAAGTCGAGGTCTGCTTCGTATACTGTCTGTCTCTGTCTGTCTGTGTCTGTCTGCGCACATGCACAGAGGTATGCTAGAACATGTGTAAGCAAGTCGGGAGGTGTTATGTCTATTTATGATTATTTATGGAAATGTAAGACAAGGTCAGCACAGACCCAAGAGATGAAAGACCAGCGAGAGCAGACCGTTGGAATTCCACACCAGGGACCACCACTCCAAAACAACCCACAGCAAAGAGCCCGACATTCCGTGCTTTCGAGCTGTTTCAAGGCATGTCAAGGCACCGCACTGAAATCGAAACCCTCGCATGCTGCTGAGAATCAGGAGATCACACACAGAACAGCTGGAAAGGCTGCGGAACCAGAAGACCACACACGGAACATTCGGAAAGGCTGCACTATTGATGCTCAGAGAGTTCTCCCAACGGATTACGTAGAATTTTGCAATGAGTCCCGTCCCCAGTGGCGGGCGCCCGCGCCTCACAAATCCAGGAGCCGAATCCCTTCCGCCTGAGCTCTGAGCGTGAACACCCGACAGTGTCGCCACGCTGTTCGGGGAATTTCGTGTGCACGCACACGTGTTCGCTTGTACTTGTTTGTCGGTAGGCAGGTGTGTAGGTAGATAAGTAGGCAGGCAGTAGGGAGGCTACTCCTACCTCCCTACCTCCCTACCTCCCTCTACCTACCTGCATGCATGCATGCCTGCGTGCGTGCTTGCGTGCATACATACATACTTGTGTACGTGCGCAATGTATGTCTGGAACGTACCATTGGACCATGCCACATTGCCACATATTCCCTTCCATTCCGTTACGTTACATGCATTCGCACACAGACACACACCCAGAGACAGAGATGCATGCGTGCATGGATTCGCCCGAATTTTGCCTTTCTAGCTTCTTTCGCCCTGAGGATTGTCAGGTTTCCATCCCGAAGTCTTGCTTCATTAGCATGCTCGTCGCTAGTGAAGCCATACTCGGCATGGGACAGCAGGAAATCACTGCCACTTGTCGCAGAGTGAAATAGACCGAACACCACTACCGTAAGACTCGCGTGCCGCTGTGTGCCTCCCCGTCGAAACTTTCCCAGGCATCGCCGGCTCAAAGGTCACCTTCCTCCGAAGGTTACTCTGGCAGGCCGAGCGGTCGAGCGGTCGTGAGATGGACTCCGCCAGACACCGCAATGCAGGCCAAATGGAGCCGGTGCTTGGGCTGACCCCTTTGGTCCGGAGGCAACTGAAACCTCGGCAAAGAATCACTAGAGCCAAGATCCTAGACTCCGTAAATCGCTGCGCAGCCCTCTGCAACCGGGGAGCTCATCACAACGCCGCGCGACAGCGACGATGCCGCGCGTCGAAGGCCGCCTGCTCGGATGTTTCCTGTCCGAGGGCCAGTTTTGCAACAGGGACTTCTTGTGGGAAGGGATGTAGAACGGATAATTAAGTCCTATGGTCCTATAACCTGCTGTTCCTTGAAGGACCTTTCCCACTGGAGGCGCGGCTGCTCGGCAATTTTCTCATGAATTTTTCTTTGAGATTTGACAGTCTGCGCTTTGCAGTCCAGAACGGGCTGTCTGAACGAACAAGTGCAAGCGCAAGCCCGGAATAGATTTGGCCAACACCTCACATGTACAGCGGGAAACCATACCGCTACTGGCGCTCAGCAACGGGGAATCAACATGTTTCCTTCTTGGCGCATGTTGCAGCTCCGGCTCAGTTGCGAGGAATTTCTCAAGATGCATAGCAAGCAAGACAAGTGTGAACAGTGGCCATGCCTTAACAGCTCCAAAGACTTGAGCTTTGTGTTAAACCATAGAGCCCGAGCTTGACGCCATGGCAATTTGTCGAGAGGTTGTGCCACTTAGCTGAAAGCGCCAGACCAGAGAGTCAGGACTGGTTTCCAGCTCAAGCGTGTTGCTGCCATCAGGGGGCTTTCCGAAATCCCTTCAACCACAAGCCTGCAGAAGTCCAGTGCGGGGGTCTCATGGGGGTCTCGCTGATCAGTGACAGGTCGTTGCTCTACTGGGCCATGCTGGCTGCTTGCACCGTGGGCCCGGGTACAGCGGCCCTGCTGAACTTCAGTCCAAGGCTGCACAGAATTTTTCACGAATCTTCGGCATGTGGAGTGCAGGTGGTGACTTGCGCACGGGCCGGGGCCGAGTATCAGCAACTGGGTGGCAGATAGAAGCGAAGCTGATGTTACATGTCAAAAAGCGGCTAGCTCAGCCGGTCGACAGCAGCGTCAGTGGCTGTCGCAAGCTTCCCTTCGCCAATCCGACAGCGATGCGTAGTGAGCCCGGTCAATGGAAGGATGGTTGAAAACCAATCATGCTCTTGCTGTCAGGCTTGGGCAGGCTTGGTACAGCAAACCATACATAGGCATGAAGTGATCGACGACTATTGGCTCAGGCCAAAGGAATCGTGCCTTCAGAGACTTTTCCCGCATAGGGGTAAATTACGTTTCTGATGCCGACATGTCCGTGTTCTGAAAGCAGCCAACTTATGCCTGCAGAAAAACTATTTTTGACACAAAGTTGTCATGCAGCCGTTGACATGTTTATGACTCCGACAAACGAGGCTGCACTTCGTCTGGGCCCTGCTTTTCGCTTCCTTCCTCGCCTTCACACTCCAGGACGGCGGTTTGAGCCAGCGATTTGACTGTGAAATCCTACATGTTTGGACACATCTGGGAATCTAGGACTTCTTGTGGTCGCGGGAACTCGCACTTAGTTGTTCTACTGTGCGAACCCTGACAGAAAGCAGAAGCATCAAAGTTGTACAGTACCTTGATGTAGATCAGAGGAGAGTGCGTGACGCGTTGTAGAGCAAGTGACCGCAAAAGGCCACTGCCCACAGCCACAGCTCAAGGAGGGCTCTGCGCGGCTTACGATCGTCTCTGGCAAAACGCTTGGGCAATGCCTTCAGGCCAGATCTCTACCTGTCGCCCCAGTCCTGTAGGCAGAGAAGCGGTGACGTGCAGATTTGCGCTAGCAGAGAAGGCCGGCGTAGAGCCTGTCAGGGCGAGCCTGAGCTCAGGAAAAGTACGGGCAGGTGCTCCCGAAGCTCGGCCTTAGTGGCGGCCCGTCTGCACAGCTCACTGGTCTGGTGGCAGACGCCATGTCACACTGCTGGCAACTTCAGGTCCAGTGCCCAGGTTTTGTGGGGCGTTGGCACTGGCCGTGCACTTCGGCGAAACACTGCTGCCGGTGTGCAGTCTTCAGAGGCGGGATGGCCCCGTGAAACTCAGGTACTTCGGCAACTTGTTGTACGAGTGCAACAACTTCGCAGGTGGCATCGACGCCCTCTTCTCCTTCCCAGGTCTTCCGAAAGCGGAAGTTTGCGTTTGGTGACCTGCAGCGTCAAGAGTCCTCATGTCACTGCCGACTCATCGAGCAAGATGTACCGCAGAGCCTAGAGTCGTGGTCCATAATGACCAAGAGCAGTACCTCGACCCTTGAAAATTTCTTGCAGGAGTGAAGCAGATTCCTTCCGAACTGCTGCGCATCGGGGGCTGCTTTGCATATGCTTTTGCTGCGCCTCTTCTGCCCACTGTTTTTGGGCTTTACTTGCACCGAGTAGGGTTCTATTCTAGTGTCCTCTTTGTCCTGGACTCCGAAGCTGATGACCACCTAGGTGCTGGGTATCTTGTACCTTGACAAAGCAGATGCGGTCGGAGTCGGGCTGGGCATTACGATGATGGCCGGGGCCCAAACATGAGCTTTGCGTGGGTCGTCTCAGAAGGATTTGTCTTCGAAGACGTACATGCTGAGTACACGTGATGCAGTATGATAGGGGGTCCGTTGATTTACTGAGACGGCCCCTGAAAATCACGTGATTCTCGCACCGCAAGGGCATGGTGATGCTGTTCCTGGTGGTGGCAGTCACGGTGGGCTGCTCGTGGTGCCTCAGCATAGGCTACTCAAAACTAGCTTTTCGCGGTATCCTTTGCGTCAGTGGCGTGGCTTCTTGTCTTTGCCAGTCGTACCGAGGCGCGCCCTTTTACTCGGTTCTCTTCCATCGCTCCCGCACCGATCGCTCCTACACGATGCTGCGGCACCGTGCGACACAGCACTAAGCGCCTCGACGGCAGGAGAGCAGGGCTTTGCGGTTCAAGTCTACCCAAGAAAGCGGCCAGACGCGCAAAATGCAAAGGTTTGGTGGGCACCACTGCCATAGGCATGAACGCCACTCGGCTTAGGGTTAAGGGTTTAGGGCTTAGAGTTTAGGAGTTGGGGTTGATGAGTCTTGGGCTAAGGTCTTCCTTAGCGGCGCCATGGCACGGCAGAAGACGCTGGTGGAGTGCCGGCGGGGTATTGCGCCTCTGACGGCAGTCGTTCTTGACTTGCAGTTTCTGGAAGCCGAGATTTCCAAGACCGACCTGACAGCGCAGGCATTCTCGTGTCTATCAGCTCTGGTCGTTTCCGTCTTGCACCTCATCTGCATTTGCAGGGCTGCCGACCTGAATGTGTCGTAGCGCAAGCAGAGCAGCGAGGGCCAGTAGCTCTTGCTAAGGATCCTGATCGTTGCTGCAAGCGTGTTCAAAGCGGAGGGTCGAGCTACTGGCGCTGCGGTTGCAGAAAGGTGCACTGGTACATCCTTCATAGCGACCTTAAAGGTGAGCCTTCGGTCTTTCGAAGGAGCTGCCAGTACACTAGTCCTGCTTCTTGCACAGGTGGCAGTCCTTGTTTGTCACAGGTGGAACTTGCGTTCGTTTTTTAGCTATGCCAGAAAAATCAGCCTCGCGAAGAATGGATTCAATAGCCAAGTACCAGACATCACATCGGCTGAGCCACCCCGCAGCAAACAAGGACCCACACAAACAGGTAGCACGTCGCATCACAAATCACCAGCAGCCATGCTCTCAGTCAGCGTCTAGACGCAACAGAGATAACAGTGTTGTGCGGTGACTTCGTTGATTCAACAAGGGTTGGGAACCATGTCTCTTCTGTCAACATCTTGCCGAACATCGGGTGTGAATGCGAGGGACAATAGGGATTTCCACTTCTTTGTATTTCTGTTATGATCAGCACTCGTGCGGACAATCCTTTTCTATATTCATTTCCGTTGTTGTCTGCCCCAATGGCTGTGCTGAATGCCATGCTACGCTTCGCTCACATATCCTAGATGCGCGGCTAAACGGCAACTAAACTCACATCATGACGCTCGCACTCGAACAGGCAGGCATGGAGGGAAGCCGAAACCTGTGTGGAGAAGCTCTTGCTGCCAAAGGTCGGTTCAGCATGGAGTTCAACATCGTTGATCTGGCTAAATCCATCAACGGATATTTTGGAGCAGCAGGACCGACTGGCTGTGTTGGGATCCGGTTGTCAGTAGGGAGGCCCCACTTTTGGACCCTGTCCAGGCACGACGCTATTTGCCCTTGGTTTCGTGTCCGCGGCTCTAAGTTCCATGCTGACCGCAGCCCGTCACGGTTTGAGCTTCGACGGGCTTTGCTTCTCCCGAAAGTGTGGGGGGCGAGGGGGCGGCTCAGGTCGTCATCGGAGCTGCGCTGGCCTTCGAGGGGCTCCTCCTGCAGCCGCTTCGGGAGCGAGCGCCTGTAAGCCAGTTCGAGAGCAAGGGAATAATTTGGGTTTTGTGGTTGCAAGGATGCCGAGGGGAAGCTGGTGGAACCTCGCTTATCTCAGAGGAGCTACTGGTGGATTGCAGCTCGGCATCTGGTCAAGGCTTACCAAAGGTCCCGTCAACCTTCCACCTGCGGGTTTTGCTTTTCTCCGTTTGCAAGAAGTGATGACCTTGTCCGTTTACAGGCTTGAAGCGGGACTGTGTGCTGAGGCTTTCAGCAATGTTTCCGTGGCTGTCTTCACCATCTTGGTGAACCTTCCTCGGCCCACCATCATCCTGGTGGCGCAGTTGCTGCTTGCTTGTTTAGACGAGAACTGATGAGTGGCACCGCGCCTGACCGCACGGCTGAGATTCAATGGAATTCTGCTGCCCTTCTACTGTGTCTCTTTGCTGCTCTGCCTCACGGACAAGAAGTTCATGGGTGACGCCCCACAGAGCCCATGGCCAAGACAAGGGCATAGCGCTGCAGCAATGCAATGGATTAAGCTTGGATCTTCCTCTGAGGCATCTTTGCCAACGTGTGTCTGTACACATCAGTGACAGCATGATGGCAGCAATACAGATGAGCAGGGCTGTGAAGTGGAGTCGCGGGTGTTGGGGCGTGAATCATCAGAGCTGTCTCAGCGCGGGGATCGAGCGATGCAAAGCGTTTGACGGGTGGCGGGATTTGGGCCCGGTTCTCGGCGTTGCTAGGTTCCGCTTGGTTTTGAGTCTTGGGTCTCCGCGTCTCTTGAGAGAACATGACAGAAGTGAGCTCTACTGCTTGGCTCTGAGGTAGCCTTCATCCTGGCCTGGCGAGTTGTGGTCCAGAAGTCCGCGCTGCTGCTCTTCCTGGCCACAGGCCTCAAATCTCCGAAAGTCCCAGCGCATGAAACCAGGTAGGATCCCAGCCGTTTCCGCACTTCGTCTTGCACCAGCCAGGTGCTCGATTTCTAGACACGGCTGCGTCGGTGCTCCTCGTAGCCACGTGCCTGGCAGTGCTGTCTATGTGACCTGGCGCACTAATACTAGCGGCATATGCCGCAGCTGTCTAGAGCCAAGCGAAAGTGTCTGCCAACTGCCACAACTGTCTAGATATACATACTTCTCGATTGAACATTCCTGCATGCCTTAATCCATGCTTTGAGGCTGGCAGTCGGACGATATGCACACATCACCGGCCGAACGGTGACCTGACTGACACTAACTCATCTTGTGTGTGCATGACATAGCGATCAGGAGGTTCTACTTATCTACTTTCTTGAAGTTGTTTGAATTACCTTCCGGGCTGCACTAGCCGCCAGTGCTTCCTGTGACAGTTTTGCAGCCAGATTGCCGACTTCGGCTTCCGCAGATTTCCAGGCTCCAACCCCGACGTCCTTCCCATTCCAAGACTTTAGCGCTTCAGTGTTCCTAGCAGCATAGGAGTACAAGGTAGTCGAAGTCTTCCAGCCCCGATCCCTGAGGTGCACCTGCTGGCTCCTCACGTCACAACCCATCTCGTAGCGACATCTCTTCTGAGCACCGGGCTTTTTATCCAAAGAAGTACCGATCCATGATGAAGATCCCGAGAATTCAGTAGTTTTCATATCTCACTTGAATCTGCACCGACATCTGCAAATGCGAGAAAGCCGAGTGTGGTGTGGGCTGTGCTGGCGAGCCTTTGTGGAACTGAGGCCAGGTGCTATGATTCCTCTGATGAAGGACCGGGATTTCAAGCGCGAAGCATTCGGCATTCAGAGGGTGAGGCTGGTTAGACGTCAAGGCATTGACAGCACAAAGTCAACCACTCGGCCCTCCCAGGATCTATTTCGAGCACGTCCATTGGGCATTCGTCGGCAGAGTCCGAGCCAGAACATCTAGCAGCCTTTCCGGGAAAGAATTGCGCATGAATCACGCCTGACCGAGAATCGATGATCAGTGGGCCCAAGCTCACCGTTTCTTTTCCACTACTTGTGGCAACTTACAGCAACACCCAAGAGTTATTCCTAGAAAGGTGAACGGTGCTGCTTACTTCTCCCACCAGCACCTGCTGGTTAAATGTAAAGGGATAGTGTTAATGGAAGCTCTCTGGAGCGCTGGCAGTCAACAGGAAGGCTGCACAGAATTTAAGTCCTGAAGCTGCGCATACGTGCACAGCGGGCGTAGCACATGAGATGGGCAGGGGTTGACAAGTTGACGATTGCAACACAGCCCTGCTGATCTCAATCTGCGTAGCTCGACTCGAGACGTTGTACAGTCTTCTCAGGCCAGTCTGCAACCAAGGGTCTGAAGCTGGCGGGAAAAGCGGTTTAAAGCTGATGCTTCGGAGACGTGCCACGGCAATGTTCACTTTCACTCCTTTTTCAAGCGCCGTGACAGGACCCCGTGGACCGAGCGAGGGAAGGCCAGGGCCCTCGGCTCCGAAACTCGTCGCACTGTGGTGGGCTGCAATTGCTGTGCAGGCGGTCGGACGTTCGGCTGCGGCTGTCGCTGGTCGCAGATCGGCTTGAGAACGCAGTCCGGGCCCATGGCATGTTCAGGGGCAGGGCTGCTTCACTCTCATCTTCTTCTCTGCGCTTTCTGTACAGACAGAAGCGGACGCGGTGCAGACATGCATTGCGAGGCGCTGTCATACTGGTCCGACGGGCGCAGGTCGGATGCAGGCGGGCTCTTCCACGGCAAGGAGACTCCCACAGGGCTGCAGTAGGATGGAAGAGCAAGGACCGCGGAGGCCCTTCCACGTCGATGGAAGCTAGGACGTTTTTCAGCTTAAGTTTTCGCTAGAGCGATGTAGTCGACGGGGCAGAAATAGTCAGCATCTGATTCTTGAGCAACTCAAGTGGTTCGGACGCCTGCTGCCTTGATATGGGCCTTCAGACAGGCCTTTAAGTGTGCTAGGTATGCGAATCCTGATGGGCTAAGAACATCCTCCGCTGGCTGGGCATGAAGTGCTGCAGGATATGTGCCCCTGCCATTGGCTTGAAAGCATCGGGCAGGGAATACCTGGACAGCAAACCAGGCGATGGTATGAAATGGTAGGGTCTCGTTTTGACGGATGGAAGCGGCGCTGCGGCGGCGCCTGGACCAGCGCCGTGGACGCGCTGCAGCGGACGTGGACACAGAAGGGCGCACGTCAGAAGCAGACCGCACCAACGCCGGCATCACCGTCCACATCTACGATGTGACTGGTAACGGCGCCGTTCAGCAGCTCAATCAGCCGCCCGGCTTTGCTTTGAGTCAAATGGGCAGTGGGGCCGCTGCAACGATTACGTGTAACTCTAGCATACTCTAGCAACTTTGGCTGCCGAGGGTGTTCCGGGCAGCTGGCACCGGTGCCTTCCATGCAGGCTCGGATGTAGGACTTTGAGTAATTCAGCTGGATAGCGGCAACATCAATGCTTGCCTCTGAGCTTTGTCACAAGCAAATGATCTGAAAGGCATCAGATTTCTCCATCTCAGAAAGGCATAAGGGCGGAGGGGCGGCGAAGCTGCGTTGGTTTGCACTCTCAGGTGTCGAAGTCTATGGTCGAGAGTACAGCTTCGGCTACTGCGATGAAGGCCGTCGAAGCAGACATGATGTGAGGCCCTTGCAAAGCTGCCTCCCCAGGCTCTGGGATCTTCGACTGTGAGCCCAAGGACTGGGCTTAGAGATTGCAGGCCTGTCGAAGTTGCTAAATTGCTGGATGTCGAAGGAGTGCAGCAGCCACAGCTACCGCGAGGCAGTTGACATGGGCTTTACGGCTCTGAGTTGCGACGAGGCCCTTGCGGCACTCGCTATCGACGATTCCTGGAGTCGTGTGAGAGAGCGGCAGGTGAGGTCTGTCCTTGGCAGGCTGGCCTTGGACTGGCCGGGCACTGGCGGCCTGGCGGAGAGCATAGATTGAAGCACGTGTTCCCTTCTGCCTTCTCGCCGAGGATACGATCTTCTCCGCAGGAACTGCTGCAGTTTCTGCAACTTCCTCTGCATCGAGCTGGGCGATTCGGCTGCAAAGTAAACGAACGCTTCACCCTTGCATCCGATGTAGCAGCTGGAGTGGGGCCGTGGGCCGGGTGCGCTCCGTCCGTCAGTCACTCGAGGCGTTGGGCCGATGCCAGCCTGGGCAGCGTGCCAAGATGTCCCAAGCGCTCAAGCACAGGTCCGCCTCTGAGAGCGTCGGGCCTGCTGACGCCTTTGGAGGTCTCGAACCTGGCAGCTGCCGGCGCATCCCTCAGCGATGCTGCGGAGAACCTGCGGCGGCGCGCTGCAGAGGCCAGGGCCGAGCCGGCGCCGCCGAGTCATTCGGGGGGCGCGCCTCGCCTCGCCAGGTAGGCGGCGACCTGCATCTTCAGACTCCAGCTGCGGAGGAGATTGCAAGGAGCCCGAGTTCGTGAATTTTTTTGTTTTCTCTGCTTGTCGGCATCTGAACATCGACTCCAAGAATTCGTGTTCGTCGGGATGTTGCTTTAGCTCTGAACTCCGAATTCCTCCTTCCCAAGGCAGCTGAACTTGGCTCCTGGGTTCATCGTGCAGCCGAGCAGGCTGGGCCGGCCCGCATGGCAGAGAGTGTACGGCGTACAGCCAGGAGTCTCAAGCTCTGATTACGATAAAGATGCCACGGTCAGTAACATCGTAATCGCAATTCTCGTACATGTCTGAGAAATAAAGGTGTGAGTTCACAGTGTTGTTTAATAATCCCACGTCCCTGCCCTGAGGTCAAGATGCTGGACGAGGCAAACCAGTTCTCAAACCGTGCGCAGGACTCCAGCCCCAATCCAAAACTCGGTACCTGAAGCGCTCGACCCGTCTCTAAGTCCTACAAAGCTCGTCTTCTATAGCCGAGAGCTGTGGAAATGCATTCAATAAGGCGTGCAGTCCGTGGCTGCGATTCGACCTCGCATGTTCCGAGATCCGCAAGATCAGCGAAAGTAGAGAGACAAAATGAGAAGCTCGACGACTTCAATTCGCGAGCAAATCTACGGTGCAGAGAAGGCCGTAGAAGGACGCAACTAGTAACTAGTGCGGATAAAACTGCTACTACAGAAGGGCGGATAGGAGTCACCGAGCCGAGTAGGAGGAGGAGAAGTCGACCTACCAGTGGCAGCGGCGGCAATGGAAATGGTAGTAACAACAACTCGAGAGGCAGCCAGAGTGTTTTTGCTATGATGGCGGTGACGATGATGATCGTAGCCGCAATGGACCCGTCTCCAGTCCTATCTGGCCGTCATCCTGTTCGCATTTGCAAGCAGAAAGACTTTCATCACGAGTCTTCTAGTGCTTTTGGCAGGAACTGGCGGAAGAAGCCGGCAACCAGGTCCTTCGATGCCAGCTGTGCTTTTCTGCGACGTTCTGGCTGGTGGCCAGGTCCGAGCGCTTGATGAGTCCCATGGCCTTAGCCAGAAGGCGATCTCTGAGACTTGAAGGCCCGAGTGCTGTCTGCTTTGAGCTCTGTCAGGCTGCTGCCTTGGTGGAAGCTGCGACTGTCCACAGCGAGGATGCAGAGCATCCTGGCTCCAAGAAGCCGGGTTGCAGTGCTGTTCGTCAATTGGTGTTTAGTCATGTGCTTTCCTGGTTGACGAAGTACGGCATCCCATGATGATGGACAACAAGAACAAGTAGAAGTACACAGGGCAGGAAGGCAGGCACCGCTTGGAGCATTTGCCGCTCAAGGCGTGCATTGCGTTCTTCCCTGCAACAGCTGTGGGCTGCAGAGTCACCGGGCCGCAACTACAGGCAGGTTTCGCTTGCGTGTATCGGCTGGATCGTGATCTCAGGCCAATTGACAGCACCTTGGCTTCACTTCACTTGGCCTCGGAATTTTTATTGGGGCCTGCGGTCGGATTGTGTGATGTGTGGTATTGTGTATCAGGCTTGCTGTGAGATCAAGCAGTGGGCGGACGGATGCTGCCACTGGTCTCAGACGACGTTGTCAAGCGCATCAGACATTGACCTCTTGCGGGGGAGGCGGCTTCTTCTGCTCGAGCTCCAACAAACGCACTTCTCGCAAGAGTTCCCCCATCCGCTCGTGCCTCCCAAACACCTTGCAAATCACCTCGAACTCCTTCTCACTGTGCCCCTTCTCAACGAAGACTTCCCGTAGTTTGCGAAGCATCATCTTCGGCTTGTCCTGGAGCTGGTCACTCTTCAGCTGCTCGTACTTGCGCTTCAGCTCCACGGTGCTCACTCTGCACGAGGCTTCTGCAGTGGTGGCCATGTCCACGGGCGGCTTTGCTCGCGCCTCCAGCTGTAGATGTTCAGGGTCGGCAAAGTTTACCTTCTCAAAGCCTGCGCCCTTTCCTCGACAGCCCTTGGAGAGAT